TTTGAAAAAAATTTACCGAATATGCGAATCTCAATTCCATTTCCATTAAATGATTGTTGGCAAATTGATAAATTAACAAACAGCCTTACGCGACTAACTAATTTTTCTCCAATGATTAATTTTTTAAATTTCTGAGAGGTTTTTTTTCACTGTGAGAACTATAAGAACTTAATATTTAAAAAAGAATTTAAATAGCAATATTTTGCAAATTTTAATATCGGATTTTTTTTCCAGTACGAAGCAATGGTACTTATTTAGGCTTCATTCCACAACAGCCATGGCGACTGGGTATTGTAAATATATTAAAGTTATTCTTTTTTTAAATGAATATTATATTCGCAGCTATTAATTCAATTATAGAAAAACATAGATGGTCAAAGTCATGCTAAAAACTCATATTAGGCGAAAATAGAAGGCTTATCAAAACTTTGGACACAAGATTTCAATCTGGAACTGTAAAAGACATTAGATCCCATACTTTGAGAAATTTAGAAATTTTTGCTAAAGGTTCACATCTGAAAGCCAATAAAGATAAATATTAGATATATTAGATATAAATTATAAACAATATTGTTATGAGAATTTTGTATATTCATATGTTTTTGGATTTTCGATAGATTATATTAATAGGTCAAATGAGCTAAAATCTAAATTCAAAATTTTTCTTAATATTAATATTAAATTAAGTTTTAAAATTCAATATTAAAATCTTAAATTTTATTAAATTTTATTAAATATTGAAAAACTTATTTTTAGAATTTTATCAACTTATCTGTCCATGAAGTTTTCCCCATTATTCGACATAATACTAAATAAGCTTCTTAATAGGAAGTTGAAGGCCTTATAATATTATAGATTTATCATTTTTTTTCTATGTTAAATTAGATTTTCATTTTTTTCCTTCTTTTTTTTTAAAGGGCACTCACCATTAGTTGTTAGACTCTGGTCCTCTGGTTTGTCGCACTAGGCAAATATGCCAGGAAATCGTTTGGTGACAGAAGCACAAGTGAATAGCCAGAATCACCAGGAAATAAGATTTTTATTATATTTATTATATATTATTTTTATTATTTATTATTTCTCCTTCTCCTTATGTATTCCCACTTAAAATCACTATAGTATGAAAAATATATTCATACATTCTTTTGTTATAACTTGATTTATTCTTCGTCAGATTTAATAATTCAAATTCATCATATTGAAATATTTTTTTGAAGAAATTTATTGAAATTTAGTTAATTAAAGTAAAGTAAAAGTAGCAAATATTGCGAAAAATGTAGTTTTTAAAATGAGGTCTTTTTCACGAATATTTCGCAATTATTATTCTCACGAGAATCTATTATATTCAAAAAAATTTTCAATCAAAAATGCTACAAAATATATGCTTATAAATCAAAATTTAATCGACAACTGATGCGAAAATTCTATTATAATTTTATTAAAAATGAAAATAATAACAGCGTTAATTCCAAAAAAAAAAATCTTTAAAAATCGTGATTCGAGAATTTGTTAAAGTTCATTTCGTTAAAACCAATGAATCGAAAAATTGTTTCATAGATGGGTCGTTCATTGCAAATAAATAAAATCTAATAGGCAAAAAACCTTTATTTCATTAATGAAAATATAAGATAAATATGCTTATTAAAGAAAAATAAACGAATATGCCCTCTAAGCCAAGCGAATGCATTTAGGCTTAGAGGGCTTCTAACGAATATATTTAGGAATATATTTAAAACAAAGAAGGAATTTTTACACGAAGCTTTTTGAAGTTCGAAGCTTCGAAGCTTTTTTGAAAACTTTCTAGATGAATTCGTTTGTTTAATCTTTAACATAGTTTAATTTCCACTCACTGATTTTCATCAATTCAGTGAACAAAAAAACTTTTTTTTATTTTTGAAAAATTAGTAAACAATAAGAAAATGCAGCAAAGGACTTGGTATACTGTAATTTCCGTTAATATTTTATTAATTAAATAGAATAGTTAAATAAATATTAATTATCGATACTTAAGCCACCATTTCGAGTAATAACTTAGAATAATTAATTTTATAATAATTTATAATGATAATAATTTTTATAATTAATTAATAAATTATAATAATTAACTGTCGGAAAAAAGTGCACTTGCGACAGTAAATAGAATTATTTATCGAAAATTGCAATTTATAATAATAATTGATAATAAATGAATTAATTATTAAACAGATTCGAAATAAACAGCGAATGTGGTTAAGGAGAATGGTTCGTTCCTCGAAAAAAACATAATTCCTGCTGAGAGCCTTACACTGCCCAGCTGGGTTGGGCTTACAATTGCTGCATTGGTCGATAAAAAATTACATAAAAATTAGTTTATTTTTATCCAAGAGGAAATTTTCTCATAGTTGTTTTTTTTGATGTGTAAATAAGATGGTTTTACAAATTAGCTAACAGATATGTGAAAAGAAGATTTGTACGATTCGCATATTAAATTTTGACTGCTTATAATGTGAACAAATTTTGTTTAAAGAAATGTCTTCTATTTTTTAAATGAATTTTTTAAAGTTGTTTTTATGAATTCATATCATATTACTATTTTTTTTATTTCCGACATTAATTAAATTATAATAATAATTTTAATAATAATAATTCTATAATTCTATATAATAATTTTTTTCTATTTCTATCATTTTATTAGCATTAATTTTGTTTCTATTAATATGATCACTCTTCTAAATAAAAAAATAAGTGAATAAAATAACAATTGTAACGATGGAATATCATTTCGCGGCAGGACTTTTGATTATGAAAACTGTTTATAGTTTATAGGATAGTGTTGACATTTTTCCAGTGCTTTTTATGAAGATGGATCTTTGCATGTGGACTATAGACTATCACTTATAAAAACGATGGTGATAAAACTAGGAGGAAGCATAAAATATTTGATGCTTATCAAAACAGTTCCTAGAATAAAATATTACGAAAGCAGCAAATTTGAGGAGAGCTGAATTTGGTAAATAAGAAATAAATAGTGAATAGAAATTATAAAATATTTTGATCAATGCTAAACGGAAACAGAAGATTGGGCCTAAATGAATGGGAGATTCGTTTGATATTTAATATGAATTTTTAGAGAATAGTGAAATGAATCTAAGATGAAGATCGGCAAAGTTGTGGCTAATTGTAGAGAAAAGCCAAGTCGTGATTCGTTCGATCTTGCTATATGGCTGCCAAACATGGCCAATGAGAGTGAAGGATATTAAGAAGCTATCTACCCTTGACCACTCTAAGGTACATTTCACGGGTCCATCGGGAGGATAAAATATCACATGATCGCAGCAAACCTCGTTCAAATATCACTTGCATTAATAATGTTATCACAGAGCCTCGCCTTTAGTGGTTAGGGCTCGTTCTCCGTCATCCACCACAAGAGTTATAGCATATATCGTTACTTGCTAAACTGTGTGATGGGTGGCGTCAAAAGAGGTGGGCTAATCAAGACCTGGACTAATACAGTTAGGAAAGATTTTGAACGTATAGGTGGACCAGCAATATATGGACTTAGATGATGGAAAAAGGAATGGCTTCTGATACTGTCGATGATGGCGTTAGACCGCGTTGCTTGGAAACGCTTTATCCTTGTAGCCAGTGGAGCCAGCCTAACCAGCAATGGTGAGAGCTATTAGAAGAAAAAGAAGGGAAATGCCAAGTAGTAGTAGTAGTTATGAAAAAATCTATGGCAATAGCATACGTTACTGATTCTGTAGCTGCTCGATACTTATGCTCTTTCTTAAAATTTACGAAAATTATAAAGAAAAATGACATTTTCTTTGCTTTGTAAGTGCCCACTTAATCTTTAAGATTTTCTAAATGATTTTCTCACAGGTTGTTCATTTCTTACATATTTACAAATTTATGGTAAATTTTTAATAGCAAAAACTTCTAAAGTAAATATATAAATATATATTTTAGTCCAAAATATTTAAGTTTTCGTATAAAGGATAATTTTTAGAGAGATTTTTAAAGTTTATGATGTTACTCTTCAGTTTTTTTCTAATTGAATTTGTCTATTTAATAAGTTTTTAATGAAAAAATTCCAATTAAAGAAACCTAATGAAATAAAAAATATGCCAAACCTACCTAATTTTACCGTTTATATTATTTATTGCATCATTTTTTGCTGTAAGATGAAAAATATTTGACAAAAAAATCGCTGGCAACTGAATTAAAATCATTATTATCATTATTATTATCATTATTATCATAATTATTCGCCTCAAAAATCCACAGTCAAATTTCAAAGAATTGCATCATCATCAAATATCTTTCTTTCAACAAATTTAGGCTTCAGTTTCATTGAATTCATTTACGCTTGACTTCTGCCAACTCGATATATTGATAGCTTAGCCTTTCCTCTAACATAGTTTACTAGGGCTTTCTGTACTACCGCATTTGAAACCAACCTCTATTATTAAATATTCAAATATGCAATATCACTATGACTTATAAAGGCCACAATGCCTTTCAAATCGTATGAACTCAGTGTTAGTATGTAAATAAAAATAAGATTTGAATGAATAATATTTATAATATCAATAACATTATTAGTTAGAACAATTAGTTAAATAACAGAAACAAGTTTCATAATAATTGAATAGGAAAAAAATTATTCTTAAAAAATGAATTTAAATAATTAATTAAGTTGAAAAAATTATTTTTTATTTTAATTAGACTAAATTATTTCTTTATAAAATAAAATCCAACATATATGTTTTTAAATGAAATGAATGAACGATAAAATTTATAAAATTTCAGAATTAAAATAAAACAGTGAATTATTTTCATGAATGAAAAATTTAAAGGAGAAATGAATGAACAGTGAACAATATTTAGTATTCTTATGATATTTCTAATAATAATCGAAAAAAAAACGATCATTACCATTAGTTTTCAACAAATAACTATGAAGAAAAATTTTAAAAAAAAGAAATGATAAAAGATCTAATAAGAAAATATGGAAAAGGCTAATTAGCATCAACAATTGTCAAAAAGCAATGATTCTCTAAAATAAACTCAAAAAGTTTCGTAGTGAAAAAGTGAATAACAATAAAAATCGCGAAATATTGAATCCAGGCCCATTTTATAAGTTCAAAAAATCCTGTTTGATAAACAAAAATTTGTTCAGGAATATTGATAATGAGGTGTAAGTTGAATGCAGTATCAGATGGTTTCTTCATGGTTAAAAATTTATAATTTCTGAAAATAATAAAATAACTCATTAGCAAAACATTTGAATTTCACGGTGACTACTTCTATTTGCATTTAACGTGTTGATGAATTATTAAAGGTTATTTCTATAATATTTAATAAAATCCATTTTTTGGAATGTTAATAAATTGCCAGTATAGTACCACAACATATATACGGCAAATACTATTTAATAAGAAAGTGGATTAACCATAACACTACGCCATAAAGTAGATTTTTTTTAGAAGAAAATATTGAGGTGATTGACTAAAACAAGATGAATTCTTAATAGCGCATTTATTTATAATTTTTACATCTCAACAATAAATATTTTATAAAAAGCGCATTTTCAAATTTATCCTGAAATTAGCTATTCATCAGCATTCAAACAGATCATAAATAAAACAAAGCTTAAATTTTAAATTTTACCGTTTTAAAGTTGCTGTGAAATTTTTTTTCGAATAACGTTTCATAATCTCATGAAGTTCGTAATGCGATGGATCAGCTTTACTATCATTTATTAGTGGAGCATCAGTTGTCATATAATGTCCGAAACTTTGCAGTGGCATTCGTTGATCGAAAACGAGATCACCACCGATAGAAATGGCTGATATTGGTTGAAAAAAATATTCGTCGCCTAACAAAGCGATTTCTGACTGAAATAAATCAAGCTGAAACGCTAATCGCCAATCGCCATATTATTTCAAAGAGAAATTGAGAATTGAGAAATGAAAAAACCACTAACCGAAAAGAATGATCTATAACTAAGTTGATAATCAAATAAAATTAGCCAAAATACACCAGCAATGTAATCATTCGAAGATAACGGAAACTCGACATCGAACTCTATCTGAGGAAAATGCAGAAACAATGTTTAAATTGAAATTAAATTAAAAACATTTAAATTAAAAATTTGAAAAGCAAGAAAATTTAAGCTTTCTTCAGATGATTAGCAAATTAATTTATTTAGATATTTTGTTCCGATTGTTGCCAAAATAATAATAAAAATAATAATAATAAATAATAATAAAGAGAAATATATCAATTAATACAACACTATCTTCCAGAGTTTTTAAAAGTATCAAAAAACAGGAGTTTAGAACCTTATCAATTATACCGTCATCGTTTTCATCAGTTTTTTGAACCTCAATGATAGGAATTTTAAGTTTAGAAAATTCAGCTTGGTTCAGAATGGAATAAGAGCTCCAAACAAAATAATCCTGCGGATCCTTGCATCTCAGCATGAATATCTCGCGATCTTTGAATTCAACTCGAGGCTGTTCCCTATAATCACCATGCTTTTTCCAGAAACCCTTAAATTATATTTAATTGTGATATCCATTAACAAAGATATAGTAATATTTAAAAATTATAAAATCGCTTTCAAATTATTTATCTTTTTATAACAAAAAAAAAGTAAAAGGGCGTATGATAAGCAATGATAAAATAGAAAAGAATGAAAACCTGAGTGATATATGCGATTATCAAAGGTAATACAGTGGTGACGGTGACTAAAATTACTTTCAATATGTAAGCCGATGAACAGCATGGTGCTTTATATTTTCTAGTGATTGCCTGCAAGTGAAATTGTTTAGTGCAGCAGGGGAAATTCGCGTATATTGCCTAAACCTAATTTATGTGAATTTAATGCATGGAATTCTGAAATTCTTTGCAAATTATTCAGTTTTTGTTCATCGACAGTGAAAACATTGATGATTATGATATATGATATGATAAAATTGATAAATATGAATAATGCAAACTCTTTTAGATAAAGTCGGAATTTAGCTAATCGAATTGTACGATAAATTATTAAACTTAAACTGCTGCTTTCATTTCATTTCTAAATTATGGATCTGAATTTGAAACATCTGCTAAAGCGAAAATATCCCAATTTCAAACCGTTTAAAAGTTTATAGTGGGTAGGATAAAATGATAGTTTGGCGTTTTGCTTAAAATGACGGTGCTAAAACCAATTTGCATTTCTATCCTCATGTGACCCTCTCTAGCCAATCTATCTCACATTATCGTCAGCTAGGTAACGAAATTAGAAATACTGAGTGATGCTGCAAGAGATATTGGTGAAGTATTTCGTTATATAAAAGTTGCAAGTCGAAAATACCATATCAATTGCTTTTATCTTTCAATCATTATTATCATTATTCAAGTTAATTTAATTTATAATTGAATTTTTCCACAATTTATCAATTTAGCTCAATGAATTTGATAAAATTTGTGATAAAAAAATAATGAAACCTTCTCGTAAATAACAGCGTAAGTCATTTTATCAAATTTGTTTCGTTTTCATTCGTTATTGCAAGTTCGCGAAGAAATTTTTGCGAAACGTTAACACCAGCAAGTATAACAAATAACCAACAAAATGAAGAGAAAAGAGCAAAGAGGCAATTAATTAAATATGATCCAAGAGCATTTGGCATAATCGAATATTATTCTCATCAAAACTTTTTATAAAATCCAGTTTTTTTCTAAAAAAAAAATTTATAAAATTTACATCGAGGCTTCCAAAAGGAAAATGAAGGATTACCAGTTATGCGATCCTAGAACTTTATTTCCATTTAGAATTTAAAATTAACTACAGTAATCTCTCATTTCAACGAAAAAGTCTCCATTAAAAATTTTTTTAGACTCGCCAAACAGTCCTCAACAGCCGAAACAATGCAGCCTTCGTCCCTTAATGTCAAGCATTGTTTGATTAGCTTCATTGGCTTTAAACTGAGATTTTTTCTTCCCTCAGGGAAGAGGAAATAAGCTGTTGCATATAAAAATCCATATCTCTTTTCCAGCAATATTAATCTTTTCCTGTATGATAGCAAATGGCAGAAGCGTTGTTATGAATTTCATTCATCCTACTTTTCTATTCACTCCAAATCCTATTGTTAGTCCTGAACTATTCTAATGCTGATAGCAGCATAACTTCTAGGATTTAAAACAATTGAGACTAATTCAACGGTTCACTTTCCATTAAATTCTTTTCATCTTAGGGAATGTTCCAAAAAATGATGGAAATTCTAAAGATGTGGAGCTCTTAAATATATTGTCTCGGTGAATTTATAAATACAAAATGCTGATTTATTAAAATAAATTAAATTTATCATCATAAAAAGAATAAAGGTAAAACTACTAAAAAATTCAGATATTTCAAGAACTATCCAATAATTACTAAAGTAGCAATAAAAATTTTAGATAAAAATCATAAAATAAAAATAAATTATTACAAAGAGAAAAATAAAAGAAAAACAAATTATTACAAATAATAACAAAATTAATAAAAATAAAATAAAATTAATGAAAATTATGGTTAAATAAAGGTAGTTATTGCATATAATAAAATAAAAAATTATAGTATCTAATGAATTTAAAATTGCGCATGCTAACAAAAGGTTAAACATAGATGCTATCGATTCGAAGTACTCTAACAGGACGCGTTTGCGTTCGTTGCTATGACAAGTATTGATATTATACGTTGCTATTTACCAAATATGCTAATGTAAGTTAATACAAAAATTGGAAAATTAAAAATATCAGTAAGTTTAATAAAAAAGTATGCAATAAGCTTAATGCTGAGGAACAAAAAATGTTTCCGACGTGCTAACGGAAGAAAACACTTAACTATATTGGCTCACCTTTGTTTATTCTTTTTCTTTATTCTTTTTTTGAAATTGATTATCAGATTAACAAAAAAAACTAAGAAGCAATAATTTATAAGATGGTCTAATAAAACTGGAAAACTAAAAATACTACAAGATATACGACAATGTAGAAATTTTAAATATGCATTAAAAAAATGATCATACTAGAAAATAAAAAGCTAAGCCTGCTAAGAGAACAGAAATCCTCACTTGTCGAGGAACTTTTACAATAAAATAGCAAAATTTTAAATATTAACATCAGAAATTTATATGCAGAATATTTTAAGCATTTCGATCGAAAACCTGGTGCAAAGAAGTCCTTTTGTCCTCAATAAGTCGACGTTTTACAGTCAATTGTTGCTCTTGACATCGAGATTCTGAATCCTCTTTGCTAACAGCACCATTGTTCCGTTCAGAATGAACTGAATTCGCTCGAATCATATTCATTCGTTCATCTCTAGAATTAATAAATAATTAACGGTAAATAAGCAATCTTTTAAAAGAATTAGTCTTTTCGAATAAAGCATGCTTTTCATTAATCACATTTTTCATTAATTAATATGTTACAACATGTGAATTCCATAAACTCCATTTAAACAAAGCATCAGTTTATCCTTATTCGTGTATGTTTACATTTTTCAAAATTGACTGATGCATCGTAAAACTAGAAGTCGACATATTCCAAAAGAAAAATGAGCATGAAAAATCATGAATTCGAATTTTTTTCGTTATGAACTTCGGAAAAATGATATAAATATATTGCCAAACAGGTGGGAAGATATTAAAACTATACAAATACAGGATACCTAATGTATATTTTTAAATAGTTAAACGAATACTTTTTTGAGCACATCAAGTATTACGCAAAGCATGCTGAGAAGATCCAATCACAGTGCGGGCCATACAAACAATAGATTCTGGTACCGCTCTCATAGTTATAATTTACCTAACAATTTGGAAAGGTGAAAATAATAATTTTTGCAGGTCACTAAAACTTTCTTATTGAAATAAATATGCTAAATGCAAGTATAGCACGACTGCACCAGCAAAAAAAATATAGAATAAAAGATTTAAACCAAACACGTATGAGACACAATTTATTAGGATAGTTGAAAATGTGAACTGTTAATGATGGAAAATAATGATCTATCCTATCCTAAGAAATGTACTGACTTCAATAAAGCAGAAAAAAATGTTAATAAATTGGTGGGAGATATCATTTAAAATTTTGAAACTGAACATAAAAGACAATATATTACCTGTTGAATCTCGCCCTATGTTTCCGAACATTTTTCTTCCCCGAACTTAAAAAATGATACGGTAAAATAAAACAAAATAATCTTTAGCAGAACACAGAAGAGCAGAATTTTAAACAAATAATTAAAAACCATCTTTAACTACACCAAGGATAAATTCCCTGTTTAAAAAAAATTGCACGAAAAATTAACGTCCTTTCATGATCTTTTACGCCAGAAAATTGTTGAATTTTTTGACTAAATTTTCTCTTATACTCCAAATGGATTCAAAACAACAACAGTAACACTGAAGACACAAATATTTTGCTATGAAATTATTGGACGAACGATATGTAAAACAAAATCCGACACATATAAAAACCCTGTTTTGATAGATAGAATCTAAAAGCATACAAGGGTATGAGCCGACCACTCCAAATATGTATAATCTACTACTGAGAACAAAATAGTTATTAGTATAATAAAATGGAAAAGATAATAGGGATCAAAGGGAAAAGCCGATGATAGATTTTATCTGCAAAAGTGCTTAATAGAAATGGTGAAACTCACAAAATTTTTTATTGAGCATTAAATCCTGCAATTTTAGGGTAATATAAAAAAAAAATACGAAAATAATGAAAAAACTACCGCGTTGACGATGACCGCTCAGGAGTCCTCGAATTTTCCAAAAGATTTTCATTTGATCCATACATACTAGCAATACTATCTTTATCTGACGCTGCATCATCAAATCTAACAGACGTGCTTCTCGAAGCTATTACAACGTCAGCATCTCCCTCCGTCTCAACTGCATCCATACCAGACAAACTCTCAAGTAACCAGTGATGATCATTTTCAACCTCACTCTATAAAGATATATATTACAGTACGAATTCCCACTTCTAAGGTTTTTCTTTAGCAAGCAAAGGATGAATTTATTGTACCGTTCATAAATATCAGAAATTTTAATCGCGTTTTAACATCTTAATGTTAGAACAATTTTTAAATTTAGCCTTATAACATTTACCTGTGACGCAATACGTCGTTTATGCTCTTGAGTAGAAACCAAAGAAATGCATCTTGGTAACTGTGGAACGAATGGGGGAGCATGGGCTTTGTTAACGTCAGATATCGCAGAATTTCGCAGGGTTTCGATAAGCAACTTAACCATGGTCCAATCACCCAGACTTAACTGAAATTGATTGAGTTCATCAAAATTCAAAAAAAGAAAATAATAAAAAATAGAAAAGTTTGAGCGAAAAATTTGATATACTATTCTAACGACAAAACCTGGCTATCGAAAGGCACAGCCAAAAAACATTTCACATTTTTTGGAATCATCATTCGAATGAACAAAATTATGGAAAAACTAACCGCAAGTGAACGCTCAACATCCGATAAATCACAAGCAGAAAGGACAAGTCCATTTAGATTTGCTGACCTAATTCGTTCTTCGATTACCGCTAAACGTTCTTCATTAATATCAAGTTTTCTGATTAGGAACACAATTTCATCCAATTTCATTTCAACTAGTGGTACATCAATCGTTGACCATAAACCAGAATCCTGAAATAAAAATATCAAAAAAAAACTAAAGAGACAAAGACTAACACTATATCAAAATATGAAATTTTGCAAAACCCATTCAAAAAAGACACATTTTGCATTTTCTGTATAAAATTACATTTTATATAGTTACATTTATAAAAACTTTTTACCTTTATCCACAAAAAAAATTCCACAATTTTGAAAAAATGTATAAAAATTCTAAACAGAAAATTTCTAACAGTTATGTCAGGTTCTTACAAAATGCTAAAACGTTTTAATTTCAAACAATTTGGCTTATAATCGCTACAGTCACCATAATCGCTCTACACTTCCCTACACTTTATATTTCAGTCATTCATTCTATTTTATGCTGGCACCAATAAACTATTGTTAATGGATTGTGAAACAATAATATGAAACAATAATTTTTATCAGTTTCCGTATAAAATAGAGACAAGTGATAAACAGGGCCACCACAACGAACTGCAAAATTGAAGGAAGCGCCAAATACTTCGTAATTTGGATAACCAAACTGACAGACATGCTGACACCCTTTTGTTTGGCAGACCAGCAAAATTTCGATAAGATACTTAACTTCAAATCCAGTCCTGCGCCCTTTCTTTTCTATATGTACGATAAAATGCCACACGAATTCTCGAATGAAGATACAGGAAAGACTCGCAATTTCTAAAACATTTGTCAACAGTGAGTAAACCACTAACCGTTTTAATTTTGGTTTTGCTCACTGCAGTGGCTATTAGAATGATACAATTCTGCCACAGAGATAACTGTGATAAAAGCACGGATAGATCTCCAGCATCCACTTGGACTTTTTAATGAAAGATTATTCTTACCAGAGGCGAAGACCGAATGATGCCCGAAAAGGTACTTAATGCATTTAAAATATAGTACTTTGGCAATGCTGAAAATCAAATGGAAATCCTCATTCAATGAAAAAATGGTTGATATATATATACTAACCCGATTCAAGCAGTCAGCTTGAAATTTCCAAAAAAAATAGAAGGCATTATGTAGGAGAAAACAATAAAGCCACTCTAAAGAAAAATATGCTAATCATGTTGATTTGATTTGATGTATTTTGCCTATGGATAGTTAGGAATATCAAAGATGTATTATAGAAGACAAATAGAGAAATATAAGGACGAATGTAATGTTAATAAGATGAAACTGTGGAATTCAATGTAGCGAACGAAGAGACAACTCCGATAAGGCAGTATTCATCAAAGACGCTATCAGTAAAAATGAAATTTCAGTTCAGATATATCGAGAAAATCATGGATGACAATATAATCACCAAAATTAAAGATCTGTGGTCCAGAATAAAATAAATCAAAACTGCTACTAATTAAGTTAATCCTTCAAAAATGTAGTGTCAGATGAAAAATGTCAAAAACCCGCAATATGGACCTCAGTGCCATCAATTCATGCAAACTCATGGCCCAAGCATTAAATATATATCACGTTAATCTTTGGTTATTATAATAAAACAAAACACTGATTTTTACCAAGATTTTTAATTGATAAAGATCTGTTTCGGCACTATACCAAATCGATGCCAAATCGCTGGTCTCGAAGTAAAGCCCACATCGTAAATATTTCGGTATTTCTCTCGAAAAAATCTGACGGTGGAACAAGAATTCACAAAAAACCCATAGGAAAAACTCAACGAAGGCTTTTCTATGTCAATATAAGTAAAGAGAACTAACGAATGCATCTTTCAGCCAAAAAAATAATAAAAATAAAAAAATAAAAAATTAGCCGAAATAGTTCCGATCGTATTCAAACCAATCATGCCGTTTGACGATCAATACCAAACGGTTAGCCTAACAGCAGAATGAATGTGAACTGTGAACTTCTAACAGCAATAACATCAACTTTCAACATCAGTTCTAATATATTCTAATATCAATTTTTCGAACCAAATTTAGCATCCCAGAACGCTTTCAAGAATGAGAAGCTACAGTGGCACGGTCGAAATATTTTCAAGTTGAGTAATTCAAGTAAAGTACAATTTCTAAAAATCGGAAAAAAAGAACCTTGAATAAATATTTTGCAAATCCAGTAAGCGCACTATCAATCAGTTTACCTGGAGCTGTTTGCACACTACTGATAATTGCCGGCACTTCTAAATTATTTCTCCTCTCTGAAATTTTTAAAAAGTTTCATCTGAGAATTTGTACTTTATTCTGAGAAAAAATTTCTGAATAAAAATACACAAAACGATATGCGAAAAAAATTGATCGCCAAAAGATTATACAAATATTGTATATATTGTATATTGTACATAAATATGAAATTACCTCTTATTAATTTACGAAGGTATGGATCCAGATTTGATGTGCATGGAACAAATCTCCGAGCATGGCCAACAGTTAACTGATCGGGACCAGCAGAAGAAGCTTGCTCCAAAAACGATTCAAAATTGTCCGGGTTACGATCAAGATCGATGAGAGGATCCTTCTTTGGTATGGAATGCTTCAACTGATTATATACCTGTATCAGACAAAAAAAATGATATATTTTAATACACAAAATCGATTAAACTATTTAATTACCATAAGAATATAGCCACAATGAATAACGTGAAAATATGGCAAACAAAACCCTAAGAATCTGACAACTGTGGCGGTTATTATTTCTGATTATTTAAGTTTACTTCATTCCAATCATGAAATTTAAACCTGGGCAAGTGAATGCTGATCATTGTGTTGAATATCGAGCGCTCTGTCAATGAGCCAACACATTCTACATGGCCACTGTTCTATTAAACTAACCCAAAATCCCAGAGTTAACCATGAAAATTCAATTTCAAAGGCTCGCATTAACCTTTAAAATATAAATTCATAAATTAACATGGTCACTTATAACTTAAAAAACGACAAAAAAGTTTTTGTTATTCTAGATTAGAAGATTGACTAACGTTTTAAAAACATTCTATTGAACTGCCGATAATTTCTAAACAAAAAAACAATTCAAAACCTTCCTGTCAATGTCAAAGCATTAACAATTCGTTTCATAGCTCGCGGATTCATATTCGAAAAATAATCATCTGTCATAAGTGTATGGTTCCAATTAGTTGTACCTAATAAAGCCGTAGATTTCCGAGTCCTAATATCTCCACTAAGCGACATGTATGAACCTTAAATGAAAAACGTTTAACGCAACAAAATTAAATTCGTGGAATTAACTACGATCAATTTTTTACATTTAAACATATTTACATTTATATAATGGAAGAAAATTGTTAAAAATTATTTATAGCACTGTTAAGAACTCATGACTTTTCAATTAAACCATCACTTATTGGAATAAACTGCCCAAATGTGAGGTACACATCATTTACATCATTCTTAGCCTTTAAATGCATAGTTAATATCATAATATCATTTAACTGTTTCCTTCATTTTTCTACGTATTTTCAGTCCAAAATTAAGGCCTCTTGCCATTCAATTATTTGCAAGTAATTCCATAAATTAATATTATGATAGTCATATTATCCTATTTCTTTTACACTATTACCTTTTAGACATATATCTTTTAATTTTATGTCAGTATTATTAAGTTTAAATTTCATATGTTGTCATTACTGAAAACATATAGCACATGTCGCATTGCTTGGTTATTTTCAAACAAATGGAACCCATTCCTTCACACTTACATTACTGATATGAATAACTATGTTTACATGAAACACTGATATTAATATTACTGATAAATAATATACCAAATTATTCCAAACCAAGAAAAAATACCGTGGAATGTATCCTGACGCCTGAAACGTTCTTTCCAGTCGGCAATACTTTCACGTTTATCGCGTAGTTTTTTTTGGAGTTGGCGTAATGCAGAATTGTGAAGATAAATTGGCATGGTAATAATGTTCTGAATAGATAGAATAAAAATGAAGTTTTGCAATTTTCGCCAAAGTAAGATAATTTTGCATATTTATACGATTGCCTTTCCAAATTTTGCGCTATTAACCGCTGTTTCATTTAAATGAAGAATAATTATATTTTAACAAAATCTTTTTTTAAAGCATCGTAAAAAAAAACGAAAAATATCGACCACAAAGCAAAACCGAAAAGACTTTCAAAATAATTTGTAAAAGAAAAAAGAATAAATCAATAAATTACCTTAAGATAATCATGACCCGTCAATTCAGTACCAGTTAAAGCGGAATGCATACTATGATTCACTGCTGACACTATGATATGTGGATCAACGGCGATAATAACTATAAAAGGTCGATTGGCTCGGGCAGAAAACAACAACTCCAGGGCATCCAAAGTTTGCACCATTCGTTCCTAAATTTTTTATTTTGAATTTGTTGAATCCATCACCAATTAAATTTAATACTCACATATTTATCATTAAATCCATTAACTGATTAGTTTATTATTCGTAGCCATCATACCACACTAAGAAAAATAATACAAAAAATTCAATGCAAAAGAATAGAGTGGAAAGACAACCTGCTCACAGTTATCCAGTCCATCAACAATCACGACCAACCTCGTTTGACTACTGGTCAATGAATCCAAAGTCTTTATCATCTTTGCGAGTAAATCAACCTAAAAAAGAGATTCTGCACGCTTAACACCATTTTTTCTTATAATGCGAACCATTACTGATTAGGCTGGCACTACTAATAAAAAGAAAGAGGGACTTCTAAACTTCTAGACCCGATTAGACAATTCGTACGATATTTTTATAAGAAAAAATATGATATTTTACATTTTCGCATATTTATAAAACTTTTGCGCATAAATTTTGAAATTACAGAAAAAATTTGAGGCGATGAAAAAAAGACCTCCCGAATCCAAATAACCATTACTTCCTCAATTATTAATTTTTGAAAATTTGATAAATTCAAAGAAAGCAGGGAGAGCTATTTAGATGATTTTCAAATTTTTAGTCGATAATATTTAAAAAAACGAACTTCTTGCTGCAATTTTTGCATAAATCCTTCGAAACGGATTTCTGCAACAATTTGAGCTGCACGATTAATCCTTTTTTTTGGCACATTAATCAATCCATAGAATATTAATAAATATAAAGGATAAATAAATAATAAAAAAGCCAATGATAACAAAGATATTGATCCGAACATTATACTGAAAAACTAATTATGAAAAACTGATTATAACCACGATATCCACTTTAAATAGAGTGAAATATATCTTTCGGATCCCCAACTACTCCGATTTACGAGGAAGAAAACTCCATCCACTCACATAAACAATTTCATCATTCAGCAAATCTTTGCATAATTTTATAATATATGCACCTATGATGTTTTCAACAAAGATAAATAATCAAGAATTAAAAATTACCTGGAATCTAATTCGCTTCGGTAAAACCACAGTGTTATCAAAAACAACGCAGAATTTAAAGATAATAGAAATATTGCTGCAAGCAGTATTACAGGAATGCCACAAAATTTTCTATGCTTGGTTGAACTCTCACGAGCTGAAAAGGACATATTCATTATATTGAATACCTAATAAAAATAACGAAAATTATGCTTCAATAAAATAAAGAAAACGTAAAAATTGGTCTTACAATAAAAAAATTTTAGGGCGCAACAAATGCGAACAGTCAATGGACCAAAATGATTTTCCGCGGCTTCAAATAAATTAACGACTATTTTCGCCAGAGCCTGCTCTCCACCAATTGATGAAAGACGATGGTAATCAGCAAACAGAAAGCTTAAAGGGTAAAATATTTAAAAAATTCATTAGAATTTTGGTGAATGAGAAACCAATAGATATATACTATAGGGAAAATTTGAAAATAATTTCAAAAAATTTTAATTACTTTGAATAGCAAATAGCAAAAAAAGAATTTATGTTATTATTATGTTATTACATACCTAACTGGACTTGTCAAAAGTTCTTTTTCTCGACGAATCGGTGCGTGAACTGTAGCCATATTCAAAAATAATCTAAAGTGAGCCAATGCTTTAGCTATTTCCCTACCAGCAGATAAAGACCTATGCCAAGCTTTCACTTCACTTCCATAATAAATTACACCTGAAATAGGATTCCATAACTTCTAAATGAAAGAATAAGTAGAAACTTAAGAACATGGCATATTTAAATTTCTTAATGGGTTATACGTGGCTTTAATTACCAAATACAAATATACATACCATAAGTTAGCACAACAATAAAGAAAAATATGACACCAAGTACGCCAATCGAAAGCAGTACAGTCATGTCTACTAAAAAAGCAGTGGCTGACATAATCATTAAAGCCAAAAGCACCACAAGCATGGCAATAGAGAAAACCAAAGACCATGACCATGAAAGATGAACACCATCCAACCAACTTCGAGAGAAATTATGCAAAGAATCTTTCAATTTAGCCAAGAGTAATGATTTGCCGGAGCCCCATTTTGCGTAAAGACCTAAATATAAATGAAATTTTTTACAAATTTTTCCTACAAAGAATTCAGATTTTGAATTATGTTCATATGTTTAGAAATCTTTTCCAGTTGGGATCAACACTATCCAGCTCTGAACGAAAAATATTATCGCGCCATTTTATATCGATTCAACGTATTTCAAAAAAGAAACTAAGAATGGACTGGACGACAGAAACACCTTAGAAGTTATTAAAATTAATAATACCTATAGTCAGTGGAAGAGTGAGATTTGGTTCACAAACGATATCCGCAAGCACATTACTGTAAATATCATAGCCCAACATAGCATCCATATGAGTTTCTGCATCAACCGGACCGAAAATAAGCGGCAATATTGGTTGTGCATTACTTTGATCAATTGAGTACGGTGTTTGTCCCAACTTATTTGGTCTATAAAGCAAGCGTAAATCCGAAGGATTCGACAATAATGTTTGCGTAATGCGCTTCGATTTCGCTCGTAAAGCTAAATGCAGCGCATTATCACCAGCATTATCGGTAGCAGAAATTTTAGCGCAACTATTTACCAAAATCTGACAAAGCCCAACGTGTCGATTTTTCACTGCCCTTAGCAAAGCTGTTTCACCATCCTGAAATATTTTTTTCACAATGCTGAAAATGTTGATAATTAATTAATTAATTAGATTTAGCATTCATCGAGTTACTAAAATTTTATTTTCTTCAATAAATATAATAGAAATAGCGATAATGGCAATGGTTAAAACATAATACTGCTATATAACGATTAATCTCACTTTTCCTCTAATATTTACCAGTTTCCGATATGGCTATAATAATTATTATTTCTATCCTTACAATAAAAAACAAGGATAGCCAAACTGAAATAAAATAACAACAATGAAACATTAGCAAAAGGAAGGAAACTAGAAACAAGCAAAATTCGAACCCACAATCCTAAAATTGAAATCAGATAATTACGCCAATAAATGCGATTAAAATAACCGAATAATTGATATGGGCTACCACATAAATCCACTGAAAGTATTTAAGATGAAAAAATCTAATAACCATATTTTTTAGTTCCAGATTCGGTCTCTTCTCGAGTAAAACCAAAACTATATCCATAAAAGATTTATCAATAGCCAAGTGCAAAGCCGTTCGATTCTCCTGAAAACATTTATCTGATCGTCATGAAAATGAATAGAATATATTAGATATAAGTGCATCATTTTAATCCTATATAAATGGTTAATTTATTTTCAGCAGTCCAGAAACTCGAAAAACAATTTGTATAGTTTGCATATGATTAAAACGAAACAATGAAAAAGATTTTACGGAATCCCTAGCATTAACATCAGCATGTCGATCCAGAAGCATGCGAACAATACTCGCATTTCCCGAACGTACGGCACTAGCAAGGATTGAATTGCCGAACTGAAGAATTTATAGTAAGAAAATAAATAAACTGAGGGGCATAAGATCTTTTATAAAATCAAAGGCCATTTTATTCTTAGACGTCACAAATTCGTTGATTCGCTTCCGAATGAATCACTGATTAAATCAAAATTCCACTAAAATGGATAAGAGTAACTGTACTGCAAAACAATTAATTACACGAAAAAAAACGTATCAATAGCTAACATACCCTGTCAATGACATTCACGTAAGCTCCAGAATTTATAAGCATTTCAGCGATTTCGGCATAACCTTCACGTGCTGCAATACCCAATGCTGACAAACCATTCTCAAAATCAATCAGATCTTATTGAATGAAAACATATGAGTAAATTCTAGTAACCATGACTTAAAAAATGTAAGAAAAAAAAAATGAGAAAACAACTGCTGGATAACAGTATATAAAAATGAAGCAATCTCAGAGTAAATCATTATATAATCATTGATATAATCATTTAATATCTAGCCTTTTTCATTTTATTGGATATTTTTTCAAGAACTGAAATTAAGCACCAAATTTATTGTAAATAATCGCCCCAATAATTAAGCAGACAATAACTGCTATAGTTTCATCCTTCAAACATCTTTTGTCCCATGAATCCAATGAATGTATCTGATAGTACCTGATCGGTGACATTCACATTAGGTTCCCTGCTCAATAGAAGTTCTACCACATCAATGTAGTTACCGCGAGTTGCAAGTATAAGAGCAGTTGAAGAATACTGAAAATACATCAGATGAAAGGGCACATAAAAAATTTATGAATTCATGATAAATGAATGGAGATAAAAACATAATTCTTTTAAACCTAATGACAGGCAACCAAACATATTTGCTTAATTTCTTGCAATTTTTTTAATCAAAGAATTTTCCAAGGAAAAATTCATATATAAGGAAGTTTCATAATTGAAAAAAATAAAAAACGGCAAGTATCTGAGATCAAACCATGCCAACAGCGTCGAGCTCTGCTCCAGCATTAAGTAGCATTTCAATAATTGCACGAAAGCCCTTTCGAGAAGCCCAAATCAACGCTGTACTGCCGAATTTGTCACATGCGTTTACCTATATTAAACATGTAACACAGTATAAGCATGACTAATCTTAGAGTTTTTTGTCAGTTTTCTGCCAGAGACAATTTTTTCAACTGCATACTGAAAAGCATGCATATTTTTTCAGCGTTTTCGGTGTGAGATAGTTAGAAACGAAAAAATTGGTAAAACTGATAGATAATTTAAAATTTCATGGGTAATATCGTAATTTTTGTGAAGCAAATTTAATTAATTGAATAAAATAAAACAAATTATCGATTCGTATTTCAAAATTAAATAAAAAAAGAACCTCTGCACCGTGTCTAAGAAGCAATTCAACCAACTCTACGTACCCTCTACCACAGGCAACAATTAACGGGGTTAGACCATCTTCATCATCGATGATATTTACATGAGCACCATGTTTTAGAAAAATTTCTGCACAACCAAAATGATTCTTATAAACAGACCACATTAGTGGGCTCCATCCCATCTGCAATTTGATTAAGCCTGTGATCCAATAATTTTTATTCATCATAATATTGTATTTTTACTATTAAAAAAAAATCTTTGTTCATAAAATTACAAAAAGCCATCACAAGAAATAAAATTTATAACCGCATGAAGATTCGCTTAAGATTTGAAACAATGGCTGAAATTTTTTTGTTTTCAATTTTCAATTTTCATAAGTAAAAATAAAATTTTTTCACTAAAGATTTTCTTTTTTATTAAATTTTCAATGAAAAACAATGAACTATTTATAAATCACTGAATAACATAATAGTAAAGCAAAAGACTACGACAAATACGATACCCATACCAGATCAGGTGAATCAACGTTTGCATCTGCTTGTAAGAGAACTTCAGCAATATCGCTAAATCCTTGGTAAGCAACATTTAATAACGCCGTCCAACCGTCCTATAAGTATGGTTAAATCATTTTGAAATATATATAAATTGAAAAATTAAGACAAAATATTAGACAGAAATTTTTCGAAAAAATGCTCCACTTTTCGTTCAAAAAAATAAACTTGATAGTTTATTAAAATCAAACTTCCGATAAGACTGAACTCATAAATCTAATTCATCCTTTATTGTTCACAAAATGTCTACATCTAATAAAATTCTGCTGTTAAATGATATATGCATTTAAAAAATCTATGATCATAAGGAGCTATCAATTTCTCTGACCAGCAATAAGAAAATAAGAACAGTTCTAAAAAAAATGCACCAGATCAATGTCGTCCACTTCGGAGTACTTGATAAGTTCGCGAACAATTTTGATTTGACCTGTTCGAGCTGCAACCAACAATAACGTCTCACCATTCTGCAATTTTAATTTAAAAAATCACTGAACATGAACGATCGCTGAAGTCTTTCGTTCTAGAAAAACAGACTAATTGAACCAAAACTCGATAAATAATTTAACAAGTTAATAAACCAAATAATTCTCGCGCGCAAAATCATTCTTTTTCCTCTTCTAATAGCTCTCACCTCTACCGGTTAGAGTGATTCCGTTAGCCACAAAGATACGAAAGGTTTCCAAGCAACTCGATCTGATGCCATCGCAAAAAAATTATAAACTCTGTTCCAAGATTGAAAGAATTTCACTGCACAATTTCATTAGATAAAAATTTAGAATTTCATAGAAATTTGTCTATTTTAACGAAAAACCAAAAAATGTTTCGAATAAGTAAATCAAACGATAAGATTCTAGCATGTGCTAGTTATCGGACATTTCGAGTCAATTTCGCTAACAAGACACAAACACTTTGAAAAAATTCAACGTCTCTCTTTTTTTACAATGCCAATGCTGAATATTCCTTTTTCTGCACTGCCAAATATTCCTTTTTCAGCTTATTTTTGAAATAATTTTTAAGATTATGCTTCCATTCCGTGCGCAATATCAAACTATCTCTAAATAGAATTTATAAGCAGATTACATGCAAATTCTCTGAATCGTGTGGAACTTCTTTCACAAGGCGATTAAAATTTCCGATTATTAAACAAACATGAAAGTTACTCATTATCCGAAACCATCTCGGTTCCACTTTAACGAGTTCACTGCATAAAAATTGCGAGAAACTGAAGCCATAACGCCTGTCGCTAGCGTCGAAGAACCACAAAGCGTATCTACAGTATCGGATAATCGCGAAGAATGAAAAAAGCGATAGGGATAAGAAAAAAGAAAAAAGCATACTGAATTCCGAAGAGTTGCTAATTGAAAAGCGGTCAACTTGGATTCATCGAAATCTCCCTTCTCAAGATTTTCGAATATTTCACATACTTTTGTTGGATCCATTGCACTGGGTAAAATGGTAGCAACAGCAAATGCACTCCTCGCTGCTTCATGCCACATAAGATTTCAATCGTTTTCACAAATTCGCTTCAAGAGCTGAATAAAAAATTGTATTAATTAAAACCTTATATCTTCGTTATAAAAACATTGACTTTGATAGAAAAACTTTTCGCGATTTGTGATAAAAAAAAAAATCGGAAAACACAAAAAATAATTTATTTTCACGGTACGAAAATAAAGAGCTCAGTTATTTGGCAATTTTTTCAGTTAACATTTTATCAGTTTATCAATTTATCACCAATTTTATCAGTTCGCATTATTCCTCGTTTAGTTTTCCCTAGCGAGGAACTTAAGCGTATATTTTAATTTACTAAAATATATATTACTTCTAAATCGAATAATTTTACGCATAAATTATAATTTACGTAAAATTAATGGTAAAATTTAAGAAAAATCTATTCGCAATATCTTACAATCGTCAATAAATCTATAAAATATTCTCTAAAAATTTAGTTTTATCTTTATTTAGTAAAATTCATCAAAATTTGCAAAATTTTCTATAAAATAATCAATAAATTTAGAAATATAAATGACGAATTTTTTTTTATAAGAAATTCATTATCGATAATAATTCGCTAAATATTTATATACATTTTTTTCTTTTTTTAAGAATATTCGTCATAACTAGTTAGACTCGCTCCTCTCGCTTGTCGGACTAAACAAATATGCTAGAAAGGCGTTTGGTGACAGGTGAGTCTGTCAGCAACACTTGGATTTTGGAGAGATTTACTCCTGTGAAGAGCAGAATTTCAGTATTGGCGCTCCAAAATGAGCAACAACTCCTCTGCTCTTCTCCGCTAGGTGACGTTGCCGTCCCAACGAAGTGCTGGTGCATCGACGAGTTCGAACCCAATCTTCGATTCTCTATGGCAATTATCTTATCGCTAAGCCACTAAATATTATATTATAGGTTGCCAAATATTAATTAAACAAATAATAATAGAAATTAATTAAGGAGAAATGCAAAAGAAGGCCATCGAAAATAAAGTCTCGCTTAATCACTGATAAAGTTGAATGAATTGATTGAATATTATTACAATGAGCCAAATGAAATTACTGTATTGTATGTTGAACAGTGATAAGCGAAATTTGCGAGGAAAAAATTAATTGTTAATAGATTAAAATTTATAACTGCAAAAAACCAATATTATATTTAAAGGATTACTAAGTAATTTTATCGGCTCATTTTCCAGACGAGCAATTATAACAGTCGATCACCCATTATGATAAATGCTTCCGGTAGCATTCAATGGAAATTCGCAATTGTTATCGGTAAAAACATTTAGCGCCTGTTCATTAAGCGCATAATATTGAAGAAAATAAAATTTAAAATATTTAATATATAAAATTTATCAAACACTATAATTGGTAATGTCGAAGATAATTCAAAAATTAAGTGAACTAATTCTTATAAAATTTAAAACCAAAAAGATAGGCCAATCGATTTTTGATTTAAGGTATTTGAGTTAATATTTGCATATCGAATATGCTTTAAAAATTTCATGAAAATGGTTATTGCCTTATTAATAATATAAATAGTGCTAAAATAATAACCAACGAAGGAGTAGAACGAAGATTTTTTAAAATATTTCGACTTTTCGCCAGGCTTAAATGCATTTTGCACGAAGCCATTTTAGGCCATTTTAGGCTGAATTATCTTTATGCCATTAATGAAGAGCATGAAAGAGGCAAAAAAAGATTTGTATGAGAAAAGTATTTAAAGCAAAAACATTGACAAAATAGAGAATCGAGAAAATGAAACCGATTAAAATGGAAGCATATCCTTGATGAACTATGAAGCAAACTAAAAAGCCAAAAAGTCAATTCGTATCTCAAACGAATTTTTTGCAATTATTTCTATTCCGATTAACTGCCGAGGATCTATCTCTATCTTCATCGCCAAAATGACTCGTTGACGAAAAAGTTGTCACCATAATAATTAGTGCAGAATAGTTTCTGCCCACTAGATTATGAAACATTTCGACTGTCACTGAACACAACTATGATTCCTTATGTAATGAATTCAGCAAAGCCATATGATTATCATTAATGATTATCATTAACTTGTTTTGAAAATTTATTTCAACTAAGCAATTGTAAATCGTTTTTTTTTATTTCGAAAACAATATAACAAATTAATTGATAAGTAAATTTTATCAAAAAATATTGAAAATGAGTTTAATGATTCAATGATAAATGCAAAAAAGAAACTCATCGCTATCGACTGTTCGCCGAAATTTTAGCTCATTCTAAGCGGCAGATCCTCGAACGAATGATAACAACAAAAGGTTTAGAAATTAAATGGCTATAAATAGAAGTAAAAAATAATATTTTCTTAGAAAAAACCACGCAGCATAAATGATATGATAAGCGATATGAAATAACTCTATCTGTTGAGCTAAATTGATCATAAAGTGTTGCATAAATTATTTGAAAGTCGAGAATATATTATGGTAATCCATTTAAGGCTTTCAATTTGCAATTTTCACATTCATTAAATATGGCAATATGGTAATGGCAGAAAAATGCGCTGACTTTAGTTTTAGATGAACACGCAAGTAGAAAAATTCTGAAAAAAATTTAGTCTTACCAAATGAAAATTTTAAAAATTTCACATATAACAGAATGTATTGAAATTCTCCTCTATTCGGTTGAAAAAATATGATAACTGCTGATAATCAATCAGATATCGTAAATAAGAAAGTTCATAAGTTCATTTCTCATACTTTGATTTGATTTGACAAGTAACTCAGCCATTAATAGTCAAGTGCAGGTGATGCTGAGCACCTAGCTCTACTTCAGTCCTCGATCACCTCCTCTGGTGAGAGAATTAAGCCAAACCAAAAATTGTGAGTGCTATTAGAAGAAGGAGAAAAGATAATACGTAGAAAGTATTAAGATAACTATGGTTATCACTGAGAATCTTCACTTTTACTTCATTTTTATTCTTTTTATGCATAAAATATGAGTTTATTTCACTTATTCAATAGTAATAATTAAGCTTAAAAATATTTTTAAAAAAAAGTGAAAACGATGAACATTTAAAATATTTAAAAGTCAAAACTTATCGATAAAAATGAGGAAGAAAGTGAAGAAATAGCAAATTAATAATATGAGAAATTAATATTATTTCATTCTGAATTTTTATGCAAACAACACTATATGAATCAAAAAATTTTATAATATTTTAATAATTTTTATTAAATTTCGTATTGATTCAAATCTTTTTATATCTTTTATAAAAATTTTATATTGAAAAATATGGTTTTTTTTACAAAAAAAACCTTTAATATCATCAAGAAATATAAAAATGAATAAATTAAAAGGCAGATGAAAATATAAAAAAAGAATTGAAAAATGAGTTGATACTTTAATAATAAAATAAAAATTGCATTTTTCTTTAATAAAATATATCGTAGAAAATCGCACTTTGCTATCGGCTAAATCATCGGAGATTAAAGCGAAGCGACTATTTGAAAATGAATCCCATTTCATTGAAAATTGCTTATAAATTAGTTGGACCCACACTCGTTCTCTTCATTTCTTTTGGTAGTGGTTCTTCTAATAATTTCATGAATAGATTTTACGCTAAAATAGTTTGTTATTTTCATTTTCATTATAGCTATCACTTCTCGCTTTAATCCTCACTTTTAAACCTACGAGAATTTTACTAAAATACATTTTTTTTCTAAATTTTATTTCAATTCGTGTGAGAAAAACTAAAGGAATAATAAGGATTAGTGAAGACATATAAAAAATTTCCTATTATTAAGTAAGTAAAAAAGTGCTCGCACCATTTCTTGCCAGGCTTACTCTTATATGTGTTGATTATGTCAATACGATAAAAAATTTTTGCCATCGAATTGTTTTTTTTTTTTACTCACCATCCTCACCATTACTAATTAAACTCGCTCCACTGGCTTGTCACATTGAGCAATATACCATTGAGTCCTTTGGCGATAGAAATACAGGTGAGTCGCTAGCACCATCCAGATTTTTGTATAGGTTTACTCCTTCACGGGATCGAACCTCGAGCCATTCTATCCAATCGAATCATTTGGTAATAAAAGTACGAATGAATGGCTAATGCTGCTGGCAATTTTTGGTTTACTGCTATGAAAGAGATACTTTTTAAAAACGATAATTTTGAACCACTATCCACTCGGCAATCCTTGCCATGTTTCATTGGAAAGAAAGCCAAACAAATAGATTTTTTTCTCGATGTATCTCAGCTGCTGTAACTATCGCTGTGATCATTAAATTTCGAAATTTTTTAAAACGGAATTTATAAAATTTTTCTAAAAAAATATTTTAAAAAAAGCAATAATAATTGCAAGCACCTCGAAACTATGAAATTGCACTCTCCTCTTTTATGATTTGCAGAAAACCAAGTGAAAAAAAAATAAAAACTGGCGAAATATTCGGTAATAGATTATTACCTATATAGAAGTTGATTATAAATTTTAATCAATCGGCAGCAACTCATTTTTTTTTGATGCATAAAGAAGAGGTGGTGCGCGTCTTCGCTTTCAAGTTAGGGATTTTTCTTTGGAGAATGAATGTGGATGGAATGCATTACCGGAAATTTCCGTGTAAATATATCCTTAGGACTACAAAAAATGATTGTACCAATGCTTTTTATTTTTTCAAAGCATTCAAATGTACAATTCTCTCAAATGTACAATTCTTATCTTAAAATAGCTCAGTTAAATTTGACTAATTCGTTCACATTCATTTATATAAAATGCATATAAGTGGGGGAGGGATTGGGTAATAAAATGCAGAAATAAACTCCAAAAATCCACGTGATACTATTTCTATCGCCGAAGGGCTTCCTAGCTTACATATTTAATGCGACAAGCCAGCGAAGCGAATGTATGGTGAGCATATTTAAAAAAAACTCATCTAAATAAGAAGCAGGATAACCGCTTATTGGGTTGAGGGGCAAGGCTTCATCACTTGTTTTCGACAAGTGTATCATCCTTAAGCCAGGATGTGAAAGAAAAGATGTGGAAAGTGAAGGCCAATGTATTCTTAGTAGTAACAGGATCAATGTCCAGTGACACCCGCTACATCTATACTTCTATACTTCTTTCGCCAAATAGCCTTCTGAACAGAATTTTCTATCTGTGCTAATATTAACAGCGATTGGAACTCAGCTAACTGGAGATGGTGAACGCCAACGATTTACTTGTCCTACCATATAGGCCTTTCTTTGAATGAGTGCTTGTTAATTCGAAAATTTTTTTAATAAAAATACCAGTTTATTCAAAAAATATGGGTTTTAATAGTCTTTTTTCATTTCATGCGATTAATCTTACAAAATGGCAGCATAATTCAACGAAGATTTTTCTAAAATTAATACAATGCAGCGATGTTAAATTTAATAACCAAATAACCAATCATATGAGATATTTCTCTGATAATTTCAATAAAACTTTTCAATATTTAAATTTTTAAACAAAATTATTTCTTTTATAATGACAAGTAATTTTATTATTATTATTATTAATAATAATAATTGGATATTATTATTGTTATTATTATTATAATAATTATAATTATTATAATAATTATAATTATAATAATTATTAGCAATTGGATAATTCATGGTTTTCTAAAAAAATAATTTGGTTTGGTTAACTGAAAGTGATGAATGAAGGAAAGCAAAAATAAATTGAAAATGCTTTAAACAATTTTTTTAAAACTAAGTTCCATTTTTTTCGAATTTTAAATAAATTTGCCTTCACCATGGGACTTTTTGTTTTCGATAAATTGGAATAAAATTTTCATTTTTGCAAATTTAATTACATTTCTATATACAAACCTTTTTTTAGCAATATTGTGGAATGTTTATATTATATTAAATATGCCTCAAACAAATTCAGCCAGCTGGGTCAGCCTAACCAGTAATAATGCGAGATGTTAGTTGATGAATCGACTCAAAATCAATGACGATTGATGATGATCTGCATAAGAATAAATCGAAGATTTCTTTAGAAACACTAGGTAATTGATTTGTTCCGTGAATAATTTTTTAGATAATCGTATAATTTTTATTATTGGATAAAGAACGATTTTTCAGGATTTTAATCGTCTTCACTTATAGATCAGATTGGAGCGCCTATGCTGAGGTTCTATTCTTCGTTGTGATAAACTTGTTGAAAAATTCGATGATGCTGGCCATTTAAGTCAACTTCCATCCTTAATGGACTACTTGGAATATTCGTTCAATGTAGAGGCATTTCTAATTTTCTTATGGAGTTTTGTTCTATTCTTCCATCTTAAATCGAAATATATTTATTATCCTTAAAAGATTTTTAATCCTGAGAGTTTTATCATTTTCTAGTGAAAAATCCTTGTTTATTTACTATATGAATTTTAAAAAAAATCCTATAAAAGATTTTTATAAAATTATTAATGGTTTTGGTTTTTGTAATACTAATCAACTTACTTTAATTTAATGTTGTAAAACAAATCATTACTACAATCATTTCGTTTCAGTTAAACAAACAGCTCTTTAGCTGTTAAGGCTTTAAGCAGATTTTCTTATCAAAAAAGACAAAATATATATAATTCAAAAAAAAAGAGAAATAAGCTTGCAGAAACACCAATAGCTTTCCACAATCCAATATTTCTACAAAGAAAAAAAAATGGATAAATCAATTGGTAGTCATTTAATCATTCTGAATACGTCGATAAAGCCTATTACCCAAATTTTTTTGCGTTCTGAAAATATGAGTTGACTGCCGATTTTCACATGAAAATCATGAAAACGCAGCATTATTCGCTTATCGAAAGAATTTTTCTAGTTTTATCGAATCGATGTAAAATAAAAAAAAAATATTCGAAGGAAAAAAAAGTGCAAATAATTGCTTAGCAATATAAAGCATTTTGAAATACTAAACGATAAGTAACAAAAATCGTTATCATTCAAAGTTGAAAATGTTTAAAGAATTGCTTTTATAATTAAAAAAAATAAAAAATTTTCGTCTTCGATCGTTTTTATAAATTCGATTATTCTAACAATCGTGGCGCGGTTTTAATCATAAAAATACAAATAAAGAAATTTTAAATTTTAAATTTTGCTGATAAAAGATTTTTAGGATTTATAACGTTTTAATTTAAAATCAAAATTACTAGAAAATTATCAGAAAGATTTTATCAGCAAAAACAAAATAACAGTAATAACAGTTTACGCTAAAAGAATTTTCATTAAACCATAAAAAATTGCCAAATTTAATTAGCTTAAATAATTAGAACCATTAAGGCCGATCAAAATTAAATTATTTCAGTTCAAAAAACAATCTTCTATGAAAGCGATTATGAAATTATATAATAATAACTTATGTATCGTTGCACATTGTAAAAAAGTATGACCAAAAAATGATAGGTTGGACATTCTCTTTCTACAAACTGCTGGCGGGGTTGCTTTCATTGACCGCGAGGTTACTATCAGACACTATCCATAAGTCTAAAAAATGGAGACTGTTGAAAAGAAAATTTTTAGCAGCACAGCATTACTATTATAAAATTTTTCCAAAAATATTGTGGTGCATTAAAGTAAAACTCGAATTTAATTATTTTAAAAAATTATTTTAAAAAAAAAACTATAAAAAATTTTAATTAGGATGAAAACTGATTGAACAATTTTCTAAGGCTTAAGGAGAACAAAACTTGTGGGACCAGATTTAAGGCCTATTTCCCAAGCAGAAATTATTTATACAGATAAGGAATAATATAAAAATTTTATCATCAAAAATAAATATAATAAGTGATTAAAAAAATAGAAAAAACAATGGCAAGAATTTTGTTTTTTTTATCGATGTCTATATTTATTTATTTTTAAATACACTTATTTGTTATAAATGCATAATGTAATGTTATTATTAATATTTTTGTTAATGTATTATTTAAAATTGAAAAATAATTTAATTCGACTACTTTTCAAGAAATAAAACATGGAAATTCTTAGTTGTGCAATATGGCTTGAAAATTTTTCTGATTAATTATGCGTTCAAGAATTGATTTTTTTAAATCGACTAAAACCAGCTAAAATGAGTTCGATTTGTATGTCTTCAATGAGTTAAACTTGTCACGAAAAATGATTTGAATGGTGTTGAGGTCACCTGCTTCTAATCTTCACATGGAATTCTGGTGAAGGAGGTCTTATTGAGTGGCTACTAGAGACCCACTTGTAACTCTATCCTAAACTCGCTCTGTGGTGAATGTGTCTGACTTTCATCGTCCATGTCGTCCGATGCATGTGATAACCCAAGCCTAGTGCCACATCCGAGTGTAAAGGAATCCTAAGGCTTGAGAATAAAATATGCTCGTAAGTCCGAGCAAGTGCTCGAAACCTGTCAAGAGCCTATTGTATGCGTGGCGAGGTGCTAGTGCCGTAGCAGCGTACTTGCAAGCCAACCAGTCCACACTCATTCTAAATATCGTGTGGGTATCGCCTGGTTGTCGGAGGTCCGTCTTCCTCATTTCGGGCCTAGAATAAAAACTAACCGTGGAGCAGAGATACTGGCTACATCACTGCGCTTCTTCAGATAACTCGGGGTGAAACGGCGTAGCGATTGTCATGTCTGACAAGACCCATTCCGCTTTGATTGAGTGAAAACCGGCAAGCGACCGTGTACCCTATGCTCGGTTTAAAGGTAACTTCTGCAATATCTTGGTCACCAGCGTTTTTGCTCCACTTCGTCTATAGATGACTGTGATAGGGATAAGTTCTATGCAGAACTTCAATTGTCAACATTTCTACGAAAACATGACGTGATCATAATCGTGGAACGCGCGCGTAGGTCATAATGCTGCTGCGATGGTTTCTACAATTGACAAATATGGTATTCGGAGATCGGTGCACCAATGGAGAACGCCTTCTTCTTTATACCCCCAGATAACCAACACTTCAATCAGATTGATTATATCTTAGTTAGTCGCCACTGGAAGAGTTCCGTATTTAATAGTTGTTCCTATCGAGGCGCTGAAACGGACATTCTTCATGAATCTGACCATGTTATGGTTGGAACCAGGATCAGCACATCCATACTAGGATATACTAACAGAAATTGGGCATCAGAAGCAAAAAAGTCAGGGAATTCTGACTACCGCATACTTCGGAGAATTACAAGGACAGCAGCACGGGACAGAAATCAGAACTGGAGTGATATGACCTCGGAAATGGAGACCGCGGCTCGATTAGGTGATAATAGGAAACTATTCCTCCTTTTTCATGAAACAACTATACCTCGGAGAACAGCCAGTGAGATGATAAGAGTGCCTAAGGAATACGTCATACAGCTGGAGCAAAGCAATTCTGCTCCCAATTCTCAAGATACTTGACAGAATATACTGCTGAGAAATCAGCCTACTAGAAAACTCCGGAAAAATTTTTGCTCCCCTTCTACTGAATAAACTTATGGCAGTATGAGACGGCAGGATGCGCCCTAACCAAGCTGGTTTTGAACCAAAACGCGGTTATGCTGACCAAATATTCACGCTAAGGGTATTGGAACATCGCTTTAAATATCAGCAACCCACCGAAATTTTTATGGAGCGGTCTTGAAATCATCATAAAAATGAAAGTCCGCATCTATATAGCCGTGATTTATTCGATCTTGCTATAAGGTTGCTAGATATAGCCAATGAGAGTGGAGGACATTAAGAAGTTATGCCTTTGATTACCCATGTCTAAGATAAATTTTACGGGTTCGCCAAGTGTATGAAATCTTATATGATCGCATCCACCTTCGTTCAAATAGCACTTGTATTAATTAATAATAACACTTGTTATCATAGAGCGTCGTCTTTGCTAGTTAGGGCACGTTCTCCGTCGTTCACCATAGGAGTTGACGCATATTCGCTATTTGCTAAACCGTGCGATGGTTTGCGTCAAAAGCGAGGTAGACTAATCGAGGCCTGGACTGATACGTTCAGAAAAGATTTTGAACGTATAGATGGACCAGCAATATATGGACTTAGACGATGGAAAAAGGAATGGCTTCTATTACTGTCGACGATGGCGTCAGACCGCATCGCTTGGAAGCGTTTTACTCTTGTAGCTGTTGGAACCAGCCTAACCAGTAATGACGTTATTAGAAGAGGAAATATGGCGATATTTACGAACCAAATTCAAAAGTAAGATTCATTTGATTTAAAAAGAAGCTCACAGTTAAGAATTCGCTAGGCTTTCAGAGTTGACAAAGGAATATTAAAATAACCTAAAGCAATTTTAATTTGGAAGTTTTCTGAAAGCTTTTTTAGCTTAAAAAATAAAGTTTTAGAATTGAATAATATTTAAATTACTTATTGATTTGACTAATAATGCTTTTTTCCTAATTTTAATTTTTTAAATTACTCAAATTGTACAGCTAAAATTTTTTTATGCATGATAAGAATCCACGAATTCCATATGTGCCATCTTCTTTATTCTGCCATTTGATATTTTTAAAGACATCTTGAAGTCCCATATCAATCAAAAAATTTGAAAATATCATTTTATTATCATTATTTATTATCACTGTATATTTTAGAAAAAGATAAAAATACGATCCATTTAACTTTGCATCGATTAGTATTACTTGTATTGTTTTTTTTAAAAAAAAGCCTTCAGCATTACTGATTAGACTTGCTCCGCTGGCTTTTCGCACTAAACAAATATGCCTGAAGATCGCTTGGCGATAGAAATACAAGTAAATCGCCGTCATCGCCCGGATTTTTGGAGAGGTCTACTCGTGCGAGGAGTACAATTTCAGGATCGGCGCACCGGCAATTCCATTCCGCTTGTATTGCTTAAAAGTACTTAAGAGACTTGCATATAACGAATTATAAAAATATTTTGATGCTAATAAATTAACACCAGCACGGTTTTTCTTAGAAAAAAGTAGATAGTCTGATTGACTAAAAAGTGCTACGAAAGCCCATATAGAGCCGAAAGCGGTCAACGTATTGGAAAATCTGCCTGAACCTATTTCAATGTACAATTTACAGAAGAACGCAAATACGTCTTAATCACATACTTCAGCTGACTGTTTCATATGATCACGAATAATAAGAACAGAAAATAATATTTACTACTGTGTTCATCACTGTTCAAACCATCCGAGACTGCCGTAGCATATTTTAATCAGCTGACTGTTTGAATAGTGCTGAGGAACTTCTATTATTACCCGCCTCCAACCCTCCCCTACGCCTCCCCTCACCTTCCTTCAACCTCGGTGTTTTCTCTAAATGAACGAACAAATCGAAAAAACTATTTCCAGGCAGATTTGAATAAATTTTCAAAAGTAAGGATCTCACAACGATCTCCGTTTTATACGGTATAGCTTGGCAGTTGTGTCATTTTTTTTGCTTGGTGTTTTATTTGCGGGTTTTTATTGGTGCTATTTGTTTTTCTTTTTGGGTTGGTGTGGGTCAGGTGACGGATTGGTGCGATGCTGTTGGTCATATGCAACGATATGGATCAGATTGCGTTTTGATTCAATGATCTAGTTGGTGTTTTCTGCATATACGAGGATATATAGTTTATGTTTGTTTTATCAGGTCATTTAATTTCGTTTTATTTTGGTTCATTGCCCTTTTTTCACATATTATTGTTATTCATCATAGTCTATATTTTTATTTGTTGTAATTTACTCTTTAATTGTTCCTTAGTTGTCGCTAAATATATTTAAGCGTAACTTAGTTAATCTTTTAGCAATAATGGTTTATGTTTGTTATCGATGAACGTTGGACAGTCGTTCTCGTAATATCTCTTCTCTACTTTTTCTATATATATATATATAAATTACATAAATTCAATTTAATTTTAATTTAAATATAAATAAATTAGTCTTTTAAGCTTAATTTGAATTATAATATAAATATAAATTCCAAATATATTTTTATATTCATTTAAATATATTTATATATTTTAAATATATGTATTATAATATTTAAAATATTCATTATATTTATAAATATTTAAAAGTAAATTAGTGTCTTTATTGTTTTAATTCAACATCGATTAATTTTCATTTGATGAATTTAAGCATATATTTGAGGTTTTCGTATACGTTTTCTCATCATTTTAGACCATTATAGAAGGGCAGGTTAGTACGTAGCACGTAGTACTCGTAAAGTTCTTTTTTGCTGTCTTTTTTCGATTCTTTTTTTTTTGTCAATAATCAGAATGGAATGGCTTTTCCACTTTTTCTTCTTGTGATTTCATTTGAAAAATAGTTATTTGTAGTTTTTTAACGGAAATCAGAAATGGCTGATCCACTTAAATTACTCCATGAATACGCGGTTGGTCGTCGCGCAATGCGTGAATTAAAACAGGTTAACTGTTGTTTTCTGGATTTCTGAGTTTACGGAGAGTTGAATTACTCCTTTTCTTAAGTTAAATTAGTTAACAAATATATGTGCATGTAATTTTAAAAGCTTGAAAAAGTTGGAAAGATTTTTGCTGAGAAAATTTCAAAATTTCGACGCGGAGAATGAGTTAAGTTGTCAAGTGAGATTTTGTACTTATTCTCAAAAAAAAGCGAATAATTTTTCGATATTATTAAATTTTTTGATAAAATTTTTAAATTCCTGTCAAAATTTTAGAGAAATTTACAAAAAATTCGTTATTAAGAATTATTGCAAGTCAGCATAGGGACTTTTTTATATTAGTTGGAATCAACCTTTTATTAAAAGTGGAATCGCGTCCAGAAATCTGCAGTAACAATGAATTATTCAGTATTCAGTTTGACTTGATTAAGCTGTTATATATAAATTTTGGTAATATTTTCGTGCAACGGATTTTTTAAGGGACGTGAGCAGTATTTTGTTTTTGGTGATGTAGCATATCCTCGTAATGTGAAAACAAATCTTACTGTGTATGGTAAGCAGAATGATTATTATACGTTGGAATCACTTTTGCTGTTGTGGGAAAATCGCGAAATGCAACATACTGCCTATGTAAAAGATGCATCTGGTAAAGGTATACAGTGCGTAACAAGACCAGATCGGTTAGTTTATCCAATTTACATTTTTTCGATAATTCTTTGCTTTCCTGTTCATCATTTCTTGTTTGACGCCACGGATACCAGACTGAGAAAATTATGGAATTAGGTGGGGATAGAAATATTTATGAGTATGACAGCAGTCTTGCCGTTAAGAAAGAAAAACAAGAATCGTGATACTTGAGTTCTTAAAATAAATAATTCGACATCCTCATTTCTTTTTCCCCTTAATTGCCCTCCACATTTTTAGAAATCATTATTTATAGAAATCATTATCATTATTAATTATGGATTAATTATTAGTTATCATCAATAAACCATAAGATTATCGCTTTATATATTTATATTTTTATTTGTATTTGTTTGCCGCATTTTTTCTTTTCTCTTATATCAATTGCTTAAATTTCTCAAAAAATTTTTTTAGACGCGAATTGTTGGCTTATTTAAAAGGAGAACGGGAGCAGCCTCCTCAGAATGTCGATGTTCTTGCGCCTATTCCAGCTCCTATACCACTTTCAAGATTGATTGATCAAGGTGAACCAGATGCCAAAAAAGCTCGTTATGATGGAGAGGAGAATCGGTATACATATTTACGTTTTTTAAATATTTTCTTACTTTATCGCTGTGGTTGATTTATTAATTACTTTACAGGCAACGTATTCAAAATCTCTTAAAAGCAACAATGTCAGAATCTGTGACAGGTATTGATGGTGAAGAAGTAAGAGATCTCAGCGACAAATTAACAGCAGATAAAATTGCTGCCCTAAAAAATAAAAGAAAAAAGAATATGGCCAGAAATACTATTAAATCTGTTGATGATAGGTATATAAAACACTTTCAATTTGAATTGAAAAAGTTTAAGACTAAATTTTCAAAAATTTATTTTAGAAATTTTTGTTATTTCTTTTAGTCTTGCCGCTTCAATAGAAATTGAAATGCCAGAGATCGGTGCAGATCTTGCGGATCGTGAACTGCGCAGCAAAGAACGTGTTTGGAGGAATCGTACTAGCATTATGGAATCAGGAACCAAAGATTTTACAGCCATTCTTTCCACTTTGCAGGCTCTTAAAGTTCGTTTAAATTTTGAAATTCTGTGTGTGGTTTTCTTCCATTTATTATATATATATATATATTTGTTTGCTAGTCGTTATTCACAATATAATTCTGGCGTAAAAACGCCAACATTTGGAAATATAAATATGAGTGGTTTTAATTTTAATTGTATTGTAGATGCAAGAAGAGGCAGCGCAGCGTCAGAAAACCATTGCTCCTCCTCCTAGAAATATTACAGGAGATCGCACTCGTCCACAGCCAGTCGGATATTCACGTTATGATCAAGAAAGGTTCAATAAAGATCAGACAGCTGGATTCAAAATTGAAACGGGCCTTACATTTCAAGGTGGATGGAAAAATTATGAGCACCATTGTTACGAAAAAACAGTCACTTTTTATTCAATTCTTTCTTATTTGTTGATCTTATTTGTTGTAGGTACTTCATTAAAAGCAATCTCTTCTGCCGGCGCTAAACCTATGGTCGCCGATTCAACTACGACGACGCAGACGAAATATACTTCTCTTGAAACTCCACCACATCCTCAGAAGCGGCAGTCTCGGACTCCGATTATTATAATTCCAGCAGCAGGCACTTCGCTGATAACGATGTATAACGTTCGGGATATATTACAGGTTTTTAAAATATTGGATTTTTGTTGTAAAAAGAATTTTATGAAAAGATTTCAAGTTGTTTTTCTGAATATTTAAACGTATTTAATATAGTTGAATATTTAATAATAATATATTTAAAAATAGACGAATTTACGATTAGAAGGGCTTCAAATTCATATTTCGTTAAACATCAGAAATAGGTCCATAGGCTTAAATCACTAATTAATAGAAATTTCACAGATTTATAATTCTCTTAAATATTCCTTTATATTGAAAAGATTAAGTTTTTATTATCATCTTTTTTTTCCTATATTTTTCAATAAAAAAGTTAAATCTGAATTTTTTTCTATTTTCGCCTATTTTTTATGAATACGTTTTTTCTGTTTTTTCTCTTCATATTTATCATTTGGGACTTTTCTGATGATTAAATTATTTGCCAATTTCTTCTAAGTATTATTCTCCACTTTAAGGTTGACACTGTTGGATATAAATAATAATTGAAGGATATGAAATACGTTTGGACAGAAGAAAGGAAATTAACTGCTAGGCGCGAAAATGAAGTACTTATTCAGCGACCGAAGAATGGAGGTATTACAGTTCCATATCGTGTTGTTGAAAATCCACTGAAATTCAGTGATGATGAATGGAATCGAGTTGTCGCAGTTTTCGTACAAGTGCGTTTTTTCTTAAAGCTATCTTTATTTAAGTATGAAATGTGTTATGAGGATGTAGCATTTATTTTTTATTTCTCAGTAAAAGATTAGTTTAAGTGGATTCCAGAACTCTCAATGTTCCAGATCTCTGGTGGAGAACTTGAGGCGGAGGTTGATCATACTACCCACCGGAGGTGAGAAAAATTTTTTGTCATATATTTGCGTTTATATTTAGGGTCCTGCTTGGCAATTTAAAGGCTGGAGATGGGGTGGAAATCCAACCGATATTTTCACTAACGTTGCTGCATTCCATCTTATGTTTGATGATATGAAAATGGATGGTAATGTTAGTAAATGGAACGTTAATGTATTAAAATTATCACGAACAAAACGCCATTTGGATCGTGCAACTTTAGCTCGATTTTGGGATATCCTTGATCGATATATTATAAAAAATAAACCTCATTTAAGGTCTTAAAATCTGAATTTATTTAATTATAAAAATTTGAAATCATATTTTGCAAATTGTTGGACTTGTCTATAAGAAATGATTAGTTATTCCTTTTTCGAAAACTTTCTATTTCATCTTTTTTTACCTCGAAATCGCTTTTCACTTGTTTTTTTTTAATTTTTTATTAGATCTTTCCTAATCATTGAGTTATGGGTAGTTATTTAGCAGTAAAAAAGCGTTTCTTTTTGTTTTGTTTGCTTAGTTTATCTTAAATTTTTTCATCCATCCACTTTTTGCGGCGTGAGCTATCACACCTTCTACTAATACTCTTCACTAATCATTCTTATTCACTAAATATTTTGCCTGTATTTTCAATTTGGCTATTTCTCGTTCATAAGTGCTAACAGATTTGCGTACGTTACGTATATTTTATAAGTTTATCGAGCATAGAATAAAATTATATGTACACTTATGCATGACTTAATGTATTAAAGATTACAAGCTGTTTATATTAATTTTTTACGTTCATCACCATAGTTCTCTCCGTTCTTATTTATTATTATGTATATAATATTTATATAGCAATGTTTTGTAAAATTTTTGATACTATTCAATAGTAAAATTTATTTATGCAAATGAAATCGAGTGATTTAAATAACAGTAAAAATGAGGCGAGTTAAATTTGGTCGAAAAATGTGGAATTTTGGAAAATTAAACCAAAATTCCTCCACTTCCTTCTTATTTCGTTTTTCTCGTTTTTTTTTTTGCCTCGAACAGAGTACAATCAATCAATTATATTAATTCATCAAAGCTCAATTGTATTAATTTTTCAAAATTATTTCTTCGCATATTTTAAATTCGCATTTCTTTTTTATTTTCTATTTGATTCTATTGATTTAGACGGATTTAATCGTAAATCTCTTCAATGCTAAGAAATATTAGGTAAAATGAATGGAGTGGTAATATTAAAATCAGTTTCTTTTTCTTATTAGACTAAACCGAAATGTGTTGAGATTATTTCCTACTCGATCAGTTATAATATGTCAGCAATCAGTTATATATATGTCAGCAGTCAACGGAATAAGATGCATGATGCCGGCCGGTTTGGCCGAAACACATTCTCAATCCATTTTACTGCAAATATCCTTTTTTCTCATTAGTCGTTGTACTTTCGTGTTTTTATTTATTGTTGTTATAACATAAGCGCATCACTAATGCTGTGCTTATTCATCGCCTAAATAATTGAATAAATTACGCTTAAGTTTATTTCTAATATTTCACCCGCTTCCATTATTGTACTTGCATTATTTTCAGTTATTTTTTACCTTCCTAATATAAAAATATTTTGTGGTCGCAACGAAATAGCATTCTTTAATCGTAATAAATAGAATATCTGAATATAGCTGAGAAAAAAAATGAGACTGAGTGGGAAAAGTTACCCAACAAATCACGGTAGTACATGCAGTAAATAACAGAGGAAATCGAACGATATAAAATCAATACTATTAAGGCATATGTTGCAACAGAGAAATAGTACTAAAGTACTAGCACTCACTTAATGATAGTTTGAAAAAAAAATATAACAACAAGATGAGCAGTTGTAATTATCATAGAAGTGACTGATATAAAATAAATTAGCAGGAGTTTTCATTATTTGTTTTTCGCGCTTCGTTTGAAGAATGAAAACGTCTTCCGTTCTAAAAAACATCACCTTTATGTCAACATTCACTAAGGTATAACTAGAGTGGATGAACGTAAATTGAAATTCAGGTGGAAAAAATTTGTAATCGTACAAATTATCAGATTGATTTTCTAGAAATAGACAAGTTAAACCACAAATTTTTATTCTGCTAAAAAAATTTTCAGTTTTCGAAAAATTTGAAAAATTCGAGAAAAATGAGTTTACTTTTTACGGACTCTGTATCGTCATTGTGCGCAGGTGGTAGAGGCGGTGTGGCTGAAGAAATACGTGAATAGTCGTGGGATTCAACCCAAGCAACAAAATCATTATCCTCTACTTTGCTGTGTGAAACTGCATGACCTGAAGAACCTATTGATCCCGAATCTCGGTCTGCCGCTCCATTTATTTCTATTTCATTTTCGGAATAATGCAATGTTCGTTGTTCCTAACAAAACGTAACCATTGGTTGTACCACACGAAGTGAAAAAAATTAGATAATGGAATTGATATACCGAAAAATTCAAAACTAAAAGAAAAGTATTCACTTCTCTATTTTCGACGCTTTGCACTTCACTGTGATAAAATTTCTTGCTCCATTCCTCCCGATTTTCGGATAACACTTTTGAGGCTGAAATTCATAATCTAAACATGTAAACCATTAAAAAAATAGTATTAAACACGATCTAAAACCTTGGTAACCATATTAGTGAACAAAATTTCATATCAGTGAACAAAAATTTCCAAAAATTTAAGTTAACCTCCTCAGCATTTAGTGGAATACCAAAATTTTCAGTCTGAAGAAAATTTCTCCAACTCTAATGTCCTTCCACTTACCTTTGTAGCCCATAAAGTATAAAAATAATAAAATGAATTGGATATCACTATTTCGGTTTGAGGGCGGACCGAAAATGTCGCGAAAAAAATAATTAATAAAAAATGACATGCGTTACAATAATACAACAAATATTTAGAGGAATTGTAAGGTTTAGCAGAATTAAAAAAATTTTGCAATGCTCTAGACTCATCGCTAATTTTAGCTGCTCGCTGATGCTCTTCATTACCGCTCGGCTCAAACAGATGTTGTTCTCTGCCAGAGAAATTTTCGCTTTTTTTATGCATAAATCCACTCAGTTCGAAGCTGACGTAATGCCACTGAGAGATTTATCTGATGTGGATATTGAATTTTGAAAACAGATTTGCATAAGCGTTGTAAGAATGCAAGCAACTGATTGACAAGGCGAATATAAGGCTAATAAAAATTTGACAGGGAAAGGTAGTTGGATCATAATTAGCTAGCTAATTAGCTAACTTAGATAATTTTCTATGGATAAAAAACAAAGCCTGTACAAGATCTAAAACCAATTAAGTTAAAAATAAAAATTTTTATCGTTAAATTTCAATAAAATTGTGAATTTAAGCAGAAATTCACGGAAAATTGTGAAAGTTTACGTGGAATAAAGGAAATGACAAAAAATTACATTCACTTGAAAGTGTTGAGCTTTTTTCGTCGGTGTTATATTGAATATATGGCTTCGAAGTAGTTCTAATTATTTGAACCGAGGAGCCAACTTCAGTTGTATGACGCCGAAGAGAATCATTCGGTCGAGGAGGTGGAGCATGAGTTGGTGGAGCCTCGCCCTTAAAACGTTAACAAGATTAAAATAAAACGAGATAAATGATGACTAATTAATTGGAAATATGACTTAAATTCAATGAAATTCTTGCAGTGGAATAGGAATATAACATAATTCCCTATAAAAACTTTGAATGAAAATTTCATTCTATCAAGCAATTTCACATCTAATGCAAAGTCGAGCTACCAATTCTATTAAGAATTATGGGAAGCACTGCCATTTAATAATTTTATTTAATAATTAACCATATCAAAGCTACGAAGCTGCTGAGATGGTGTCAACGATGCATGAAATTTGATTTTCGCCACCCATTCCAGCATCAATTTTTCATCAGAACATGAGAAAAGATATTCTGAGCCATCTTGGATCTTCAGTCTAAAAAAATTAAAATCTAAATTTATGAAGTTCAACAAAATTATATTACAGGAATATAAAACGAAATTAATGATATAAAGCCATGAAGGGAATATTAAAATTGTTATGTTAAAACCATCAACAAAACCAAAATTATAATAATCCGTGGTAAAAAACATTCATTAAATAAAATATTTAAAAATTCCAAGCTAAAAAGTGCTTATTTTATGAATTGATAAAAAGCACCTAAACGCATTTTTCTTTTTCATATATTCTGGATAAGCACTACAATCAGCATTAAGAATATTTATAGGTGCAGATGCTGCTGAATTTGTCATAAATGATTCCTCATCTTTGAAGAAACATAAGAGTTGTCCACATAAAATTGTGTAATAGCGCTTCCACGTTCGTATCGTTGCCCTTTTACCTCCACTCTTAAAAAAAAAACAAATAGAAAACAGAATTTTAAGAGATTTCAATATTTGTTTTCTTAAATTGGGGAATAATAAGGTACAATAAGGGGAACAATAAGGTCTCATTAAAGAACAGAACACAAACAAAGAGTAATAAAAAGACCCTTTTCAAACAATGATATTTTGATAGACGTTAATGAAAATATGAAATTAATTAAATATAATAATATAGTGTATTTACTTGCAAGCTCTGCTTTCGATCCAAGTGACCATGCATATCTATACTTCCATAATCCTTCCATTCGACGTTTTTCATGGGATGTGACCGTCTTGTTGTAAATGAAGGTGTTTTTCTAGCCGATCTGACTCGTTGTAATGACAGAGGTGTAACATCATTTCTAACTATAGATAATGAAGCATGTGAATGCGCTTTATCAAGATCTGCTGTTGATGAATCCAGTGTTCCAATATTTATGGTTTCCTTAAAATTGGTAAATAAATTTCGAAAAACGAATAACTGTGATAACATTCTTCAGTCATTCAATATCACTGGAAGTAGTAAAGAACAGACAGACCTTGGATTCGAAAGAAGTATTACGAGCTGGAGGTACTGGTTCTGTACCACGCCGAGGATGAGGTAATGTGCGAGATGCACATTGCATCTGTGCTTCAGTAAACGATGGACTTGGTTTCAGCAATGAAACTTCTTGCGTCATGCGTCGTTCACGTTCCTTTCGTCGATCTTGTAGTTTGTTCTGTTTTTCAAATGTCTTGATGGTCTCTTTCTTTGGATCAATTCTGTTATCATCAACACGAATTCTTCAAAAAAATTTTTCTGTGCAATCAGCTCTATTTGCTTTGAGACTGGATTCAACCGATAACATTTTTTACATAGACAAAGCGATATTTTTGAGAAAAAATGATTAATAATCTCATTTGAATAATTTCATAAACTTCAATAACGAAAAAAAAATTCGATTTCTAAATTCTAAATTGTAAATACTGTAAACAATTTTAATAAAATTATCATTAAAAAGTCGGATAAATACAGACAATTTGCGCTTCTATCTCCAAGCTATTCCTTGGTGAAAAATTTTCTCCGCATTAATGCGAACGGAGCTATCCTAACCTAACCAAAAAAAGCACCCAAAAATAAAAAAAATAATAAAACTAAAAATAAAAAAACCTTTCAGCTTCCTTTTTTCGTTGTTGTGAATAAGCTTTTTCAAGTAACGTGAGTCTTCTAAGTGCATCGAATTTTTCCTCTTGCGCATCCAATGTTATCAGGAAGTCATCAAAGTTTCTAAAAAAATTAACACGTAATTCATTCAAGTTAAGAAACAAAATCTGAAACACTACCTGATTTTATTATCAGCATCATCAACACTATCTACTTTTCTCCATTCTTCATTCAGCAAATTCTCTTTCTCATTCAACCACGAATCTAACACGTTAGCATCGCGTTTCCACTGTTGCACATCCAAATTTTCCTCATATAGAGTGAGTCTATCTTTCCAAATCTCGTTTAGCAAATCGAAAGAAGATATAAGTTGTTTGATCTGAAAATAAAACCTAAAGACTTAAAAAACCTTATTTCCAGTGATAAGAAATAAATTACCAAACCAAATTTTTGTAAAAAAATTCAACTTTGAGAGATTTCGTGCATAAAAAATGAAAAGCTACATTTTAAGATGGAAATTTTTTCGAAAAAAAATCATCTAAAACACCGAAAAAAAATCGTGTTAGAACGAGTTAAATCGTGTAATTTTTCTAGTCATTTTTTCACTGGAATAAACAAGGCACCTTAGAAGAGATCTCATACGACAAAACATGTTGAGTCGAGATCATACTTCGCCCTTTTCTGATAAATTCATCCACTGTAGGTTGGCGACCAACAATTTCAGAGTTGTATTCCATGTGACGGCTCATAAGTGCATGACAACTGTCCACGTCATTTGGTAAAGTTTCGCTGGAAAAAAATTTTCCATTAATATTCATATCCATAAATTTGTCGAACAAAAGCAATTTTTATTTAATCGAACCTTGTAATCGATAACTGAAGTTTTTTTATCCACGCTATAAGATCCCGTTGCTCCTGAAAATAAGACTGCAAATTCTGCATCTGCTGCAGTTTCTCTAGGGTTTTCTTAGATGCATTCATGACATCCTTCAATTGCTCTTCCATTTCCATGCGCCTAACTTCCAAATGTTGTCTGGTATCAGGATAAAGAGAAATTAGACGCTCTGCTTCTTTGCATAAATCATTAACCTGAAGATAAATAAATTTTTGCGAGATTATTTTTCGCGCAATTAACGCGGGATTTTAAATGCAAAGACAATAAAAGAATTATATACTATATTCTCCGAGAAAATTCGCATAAAAATTTAAAAATATAAATTTAATTAGCGAAAAATTTAAAAAAATGAGATAACACTGGCAGAAATAATACAAATATCCTTACCTGCTTTTCGACTGCAAGTACACCATGAACAAATTCGTCATGTTTCAGCATAAGCTGCTTCAAAGTAGGAATATCTGCTCTATCGAGATTTTCTGATTCCATTGCAACCTGTAACGCTTCTTTCTCTTCCAACCAGCCCAATGTCTCGTCAGCATCTTGATCGAATTTATGCACCTACAACTATTTTAGTTCAACAACGAAGATTTTCAGAAAAAACTACTGATCTAAAAAGAGGCATCATTTTTCATACCATATTATATGTGCAAATTGAATTTTTTTCCATCATAAATGATTAAAAATACTTGTATGGCTCCTTGTAAAGCCAAATGTCTTTCATTAGCTGCGTCATTAACCAATGACCAGAGCTGCTGTAAATCTGTGCCTTTTGCTCGAATTGAAGCTCCAAATGGATGACCACTTCGAAGTAGTTCTTCCTGAACATGAATGATAAAAACCAAAAACAAGAAAGTTACCGAACAATGACAAAAATTTAGTCAGACAAACTGGAAAGAGAAGCAACGAAAGGAAAACTTTTCTCTGTTTCTCTATTTTGAATGGTTGATGAAGCTTGATAAATGGGAATTCATTTATAATGGTACCCCTTTTCTATAAGAAGGAATTGATATGCTTAATAAAACCAATATTTCGAAAGAAAAATGAAAACCTGTGTTCTCTGGACCGTTGCTACCCTTTCACCAGCTGACGCCAGTTCCCGAACCACTTGATCAAAATCAGCTACTAATTTCTGGCATTCTTCCAGATCCCGACCTTAATAAATTTTCGATAAAATTATCTCATTAAATTAAATTAATTATCTCATTAAATTAAATTAATCAGTAATCTGCAGAATTTGTTGCTGACTGAAGGATGCAAAGTCCATACCATAGTTTTCCTGCTTAGTAATTTCTAATCGTTCATTCAACCAGTGATAGAGATCGTCAATTTGGCGAACAAAACCGCAGTATCGGCTAACATTCACAATTTGAATGCGCCTTTGAGCACATCTGGTTCGAAGCTCATCATATAACTGTCGCAGTTTAACTTGCTTTGCTGTTAACTGTAAAAAATGAATTTTTATACAGTGCATTGAAAAAGTAAGTTTACAGAAAAAGACTACCGATACGCTTATTTTCACCTTGCAGATCTGTGAAGGATGGATAAATTTAATAGAATAGTTCCTTTCTATATACTTATTTAAATATAAATGTTCCAGTTCTACATATTTGACTAGGAGAAAAATAAAATACCCTGTCGTTAAGATTGTCAGAAATTGCCATTTAGCGATTAACCTATACTCCAAATGCTTTTTCGGAAAAAAAATTCATCATTATGTTAATAGCCGTTGGAAAAAGTTCAACTCAAAATGGTGAGCACTAACCATATTTACTTTCCTTAACTAAATTTGTTAAACTTAATATTAATTATTGGTATACTTAATTACATGGATCTTTATTATTTTGTGTCAAAGTTCAAATCCTAAATTATATGAATTCTAAATAAAAGAACAGATTTGATTAATACTTACATTCGCCGCATCGAAATGGCCATTACCAATCATTTCTCCAGTGTTTTTGCTTAGCCTGTCAATTTCTGCATAAAAATTCTCAATATCACTTTCAAGAATTGCATGCCTCCTAAGATGCGCATCAGCAGCCGCTTGGTCGCGACCAGTATCTTGGTTTGAAATAAGTGGAAGACGTTCACGCATCCACTGCTCTGCTTCACTTGCTTCCGCATAATACTAGAAATTTAAAATGTTAAACGAAAAAATAACACCAACATTAGTAAAATGATTATTTCATGATTGTTCGAGTAAAACAAGAAACCTGCTGGCTTTTCAAAGAGTCCGCCAATTTCAGTGTTCGTTCTTGTATAAGCTGCTTTACACATAGAACCAGTGAAGATAATTCATCAACTTTTTTTTCAATATCTTCGGATGCGAAATGATAGGATTTCACCATTTCCAAACCTTGTCGTTCAACATCAGATAATGATAACTGAAAAAAGCATTCAGCAAGGTTATGCTTTAAAAAAGACCACTTCGCATGTCTTTTAATCCTTTTAATTGTGAAAAAAGTCCTTTAAGGATTAGCCATTATAATTTAAAAAACAACCAAACAGAAATAATCACACTTGGTATCTTACAAGGCTTAAGAAACATTGGAATCAAACCTGTCGAGTGTTAACTTCCTCTTCCAAATGTGAGTGTTTCTTAGTCAGGGATTGAACAGCATGCAGTGTATCACCATAATCGGTGCTTTTTAATTGCCTAAGTTTATCTCCCAGCCATTCGATTTGCTCTTCAGCTTCTGAGTTCCACTTATAGAAGGCAAAAGCATCGCGAAGATTATCTCTTCTGATTTGGCAAGGTTTTTTCAGACTATTATAACGCATTTCTACTGTCTTTGCCATTTGAACGGAATCTTGAGCAGCCGCGTAACCCTTTAAATACCGTAATTGAATAGCATGAATAAAAAAACACTTTCAAATACTTAAATATCACCAGATAACAAAATAATTTTAAAAATTTTCATACTTGTTTTTCGAATTCTCGCGCCTTTTCCACAATTTCGATTACGCTATCGCGTCTCGATTCAATTTCAGCGGCCAGATCATCATGTTTTTTAATCAACATTTGCACCGAAATGTAATCTTTACCATGATCTTCACTTGAAAGATCATTTTCTACTCTTTCCAGCCATCGTTCCAAATCTTCAATACGTCGGTTCAACTGATATGCCTCACTGGCTTCACAAAGTCGACGTTTCTTCAAAGCTGATTTTCTAAAAAGAAAGCATTTTAAACATCAAAGCAAAATCTATCAAATGTTTGATATTTTACCTTCTCAATTCCTTCCAACCGCCTTTGATTTCACTAATTTGCAAAGCAATGCGATCTGATGCATAATGCTGCTCATTAATCAACTTTTCACCGACATCAACTATTGTTTTAATACGCCCTTCATTAGCATCGAGTTCCGCATCGAACACCAAATGTTTTTGCAATTTCGCTCTAAAGTAAATATAATGCACCTTAAAGAATTAATGTTTTTTTTTGTTTAAATTTCATAATTTTAGCACAGCAAACCGTGATACAATTCAAAATTTCTCAAGTCCAAAATTCGATAAAAAAATTTTGTGTAGACTAAAATAATAACCGTAAATTGGTCTGATCGAGAAAGCTTTCATCGTAAGCAAGTTGTATATTTGCACTGATCCAAGTCATAAGTTCGCCGCAGCTGTCGATAAATTCATGCAATTTACGAGATTCGATAAGAAGAGCATGTCGACGTTTACAAGAATCCAAGAGTACAGCGTGTCGAGCAACGACATTATCCCGTCTAAAAAATTATTGCAAAATCGTACGGAATAAAAAACCATCCTTGAGAACTTTCTTCAAATTATAAGTTCATTTGGAAAGATTTTTTATAACAAATAATTGATGCTAATATGATCAATGAAAACTACCGCTTTTCAATTTCATCACGATTTTCAATATCATTTTGCATAAGTTCCTCTGCGCTATTCCTTAAGACATCGATTTTATCGCTCTGAGCAACAAGCGTTTTTTCAAAATCATTATGACTTTTAAGAAGAATGTCAACGGCATCAACGCTTTCTCCCAGATCAGCCTAAAGTAACTGAATATGAAATATGCATTATTCAAATGACTCCAGCAACATCTAATGCATAGAATATTCAATATGTAATAATTTAACAGAAAGATCTCGTTAACTTGCTGAAAGCAATAAAAACTTTGCAAAAAAAACTATAAATTCTAAGTTTTGTATAATATGTATTAATGAAAAAAAATCTCCATGAAATATTTTTCTAAGAGTCCTCACCAGTACTGATTAAACTCGCTCCGCTGGCTTGCTGTACTAGATAAATATGCCAGGGAGTCGCTTGGCGATTGAAATACAGGTGAGTCGCCAGCATCACTCGTATTTCTAGATAGGTTTCTTCCAGCGGAGAATAAAAACTCAGGAGCTCTGAATTGAGCAACAACCTATTAAGACATTATACCCCAACGAACTATAGTGAGTACCAATAAATAACAACACTAACTAATATTTATGATGGATAAAAATAATGGCTTATCATATTACCTGATTTAAAAATGCCTCTTTAGATGTAAGCCACTGCTCTGCACGATTAGCCTGATCTGTAAAAAGCTTTCGTCGACGCGTCTTAGCAAGTGCATTGTTTTTCGCCTCCCAAGCTTGTCTTAATTGATGCTCAATATTCTGTAAGCGCTTAAGAACTCGCTGAATTTCTCCTTTATGGTCTGGTTGCTCGGAAATAAGTTTTGTACCCCACTCACGTAATTCTGCCATTTCACGCTGAAACTTTTTTTAAATCGAAATCGAAAAATCAATCCTAGACATAAAATGGATAATTTGAAAAAGATAATTAAATTTAATTTTAAACGGTTATTTGAATAAATGCGCTATTTACTATGATACATATTATACATATATATATATTTATTTATTTATTATATATTGTATATTAGACTCTTCCTAAGGACGGGCAGAATTGACTTCAAACCTTCGAATAATTCCTGATTTTTTCTTAAAACCCATTACATTTCTTTCACAATTTCGAAACTTTTGTTTCTCGGCCAAATCTCTGCAATTCTCCTTCAACATTCCCAAATTTAGCAGTACTTTTCCGATGCTCCTAGTCATCGTAATAACATGGCCTGGAGGAATATAAATTAAGGGGAATTATGACTTAAGAGTATGGTCGATTTTGGAACAGTATTAGTGAGACAATAATGGAGATTAAAGAGTTTAAAAGGCTTTATGAAGCAGTACTGGACGCACAGAATTTAAAGCAAAAATATTATGGGTTTATGAATGAATGAAGCAATGTCACTGAATTTCCAGAGAATGTCAGTGGAATAAAAGGATTCAGCAAATTGTTCAATCTTAATATGCCACTTGATATCTGCTTAAAACGTTATATCCCCTCAACAATCAGCCCTTACAGTCCTTTGACTCCTTCACCTCCGTTCCATTGACATTCTTTCAGTGCCACTGCAAACTACCTTTTATAATATTGCGGTCGTAAAAAAGTGGACTGTGAAATTTGACATTCCGTTAAAGAAATAAAAAAGGGATAAGGCTTATATGCTTCTATTCTCCTAATGAATTAAGAAAAGAGAGCAACGGCATTTTGGAGATATCAAAGGGATATTTGTCGAGGTTTCGGAAGGTGGAAATTGAGAAGAGTTTTTGGCAACACAGTGCAATTTGGGAGTCCACGCAGTTAACGCAGTATAAGATAAGACTAGTTTTAATCAAAGAATGCGGTGAGTGCTAAAGGGTTTAAGAGAGTTTTGGAGGTGTGGAAAACCACAAGAGATTCTAAGAAAAATTTGTTAAGGACCACAACAGTGTCTAAGAAATTAGCATATAAGAGATTAAGATTTCGTGATTAGCACGACAAAACAATACAGTGAAATTTGACGGAGAATTAGGAAAAATCCATGAAACCATAGGGAGTACTAACAGATAGAGCATAATTTCTAAGGATTTGAAGGACTAACGGAAATCTAAAAAGAATATTTGAATTGGGATTATCGGAATAATTGAATTTAAAAGTACATAGAGTTGTTTAAAGTGTACTAGGAAGAATTCTGAAAAAATTTGGCCGTTCTGGAGGAAATAGATGAATTTTCTTCCACACACTCACACACACTAAAATTTTTCTAGCAAATTATTGCAATGTAAACAGATCTTTTCAAGTTAAATTAACTTTAATATAAATAAGTTAAAATGAACTAAAATGAAAACATCTATACTATACAACCAAAAGAATTCCATAAGTTCCACCGATAAATCTTTTCTTTCGATTGAAAATTTCTATGATATTAAGAATATTTTAGTTAAAAAATCAAAAAATACTTATAAACTTATTAAATTTTACACTGCTAAACAAAAGGAAAAGATTAAAACCTGACGACCATCGATTTCTGCAAGCTTTTCGATGTGATTGGCAATAAGTGAATCTGCTTTTACGACCGATTCAGGTTCTTCATGAGCATTTATTTGAGTAAGCATATCCACAGAGCGCGCTTCAGCTTTTCTTACTGCATCAAAGAATCGATGCAGTTCACCTGATGCGATCAACTGATTACCCCTGAAAAACCAAATGAAACAATTAAAATAACTCAGCAATGTTGCTTTATAAAAAATTTTACATTGGTTACTCAATCAAAGAAGGATGTATGTTTCGAAATACAATACATAAATGGCATTTTATTAAATTTTCTCTTCACCTTTCGATCATAAGAAAAGACTTAAGCATGAAACTTTAATTTCCATTTATTAGTCAAATTTTAAAAATCTCCTTGAATCTGCCAGTATAATTCAAAAGTATAAAGAGAATAAAGAGAAATACAAAATGATATGATTACAAAAAATCAAACAAAAAAGCAAATGAAATGAAAAGTTTTGCCTTGTTGTGGCCATTGTGTCCAATTTTTTCCAAGATACTTCCAGTTTTTGAAGAGATTCGATAATTGACTCACGTAAAGGAGGATTCCTACTCAAAAGTTTTTGCGCATCCGAATCATGAACCTATAAATAGAATTTATGAAGAAAAGAACACCTTTCTTAAACTAAATTAGAATATTTAGTTCGATTACTAAATATCATACATTCTTCATGAAAACCACCCTCACCCTTAATTTTTCATGTATAACACCCATATCTCGTTCAATTGCTTCCTGTTTACGAATAAGCGCCTCAACACCGTGTAAATCCTTCCCTAGATCATCGCTAGTCACAAGTCCGAGTTTTTCTTGAATTCGATCACATGTATCATCCACATCACGGTTAAAAGCATGTACTTCTAATGCAGCACGCAATTGCGACCGATAACGCAAAAGTTTGCCTTGGAGAGATTTCCATCTAAAATAAAAGTGAATGAATATGCCAAGATTTTTTGCAGGGAAAAACTACATAAAGATCAACTCAAGTACTAAACAAAAAGCGTCGAATCATGAATTCGATTAGCTGCGTGAAGTGGCTAACATGGCATTTGCTACGCAGATTCCAATAATTTATTATGAACATGTTGCAAGAAAGAATTATAAAGTGGATGTACAAATAAGTGGAATTAATGTCAATTTCTTGAAAATTTCATTTTTTGAAAATATAATTTTGTAATTGGCACTAACTATAAATATCCGATTACGAGGTCCAAAGTTCAAATAATCATGGCATAATTTAGACCTTTTTTTTGAATTAGTAGATGTTTTAAATAAGTGGTGCTACCTGTTCTAAATTTCGAAAATATAATTGAAAATTCGGTGCTAATGCAAATCTGGTCTCAATTTCACATTAGATCGCAAGGTTTCCTCGTTATTATCACTTATTTATTGCCACTAAAAGCAATCCCAAAGCTAAATTTAAACAAAATAATTTACGCACGCATCATTAAGTTCAAGTAATTGCTGTTGAACAACTTTTTGCGATGATCGACCTTGAGCGATTAGTTTGTCACCAAGACGATTTGCAGAAACAAGCGACGACTCATCCACACTTGCGTCTGCCTTAGATCCATCCAGTTTTTCCAGCAACAAGTGACAGTGCTCCATATCACGGCCCATCGCCGCTGCATTTACCAGAAGTTCTTTCTCCTGAATAAAAAACCTTCAAGAAAAATTAAAACAAAAGTTCAATTGGTTCAGAAATTTTTATCCTCGTGGTCAGCTAAATGACAATCCAAAAGTCCTTAGGAACAAAATTTATGGCTAATAAAAAAATTTTACCTTAACCCATTGCAACACTCGCTCAACAAGTTGATTGAAATTTAAAAGATCACGGGCTTCTTCAAGAGCACTACTCTGATCTTTAGACATAGCCACCAATTCATTCCATTTATCGAGTAGCTCATTACATCTACAATTTTTTCCCTATTTACATTCTCTGAAGATGTTAATATTGATTGGAAAAAAGTGAGAAAAATACTTTTTATTAATATCATGGCTATCCGAAGTTGGTCGAGTAGCCAGATCTTTTGCTTGTAAACGAATCTGCTGAACGCGCGGTTCATTCGCTGACAATTCGGCTTCCATCGCCTAGAAAAAAAAAGCAAATAAAATTTTTTTCGTTATATACGTATTTTATTTGGCTCATTTTGTCGAACTTTTTCAATTCGATTCGCTCGTAAATATTTATTATTAAAATATAAGCTAAAAGAAAATATATTTAGACTGATGGAATGAAATAATGAAACTATTAAACTATATCAGGCTTCATTCAATGCTTTTAAAACTATTAACAGATGGTGTTTAGTAAAATTACATAGTAAGATAACTTGTTCCAATAATTAATAATGGAAAAATTCCAAGCTTCTAGAAGTTTAGTTCTACAAATAGGCTTTAATAATTTCAGTCCATTAAATCTTGTGATATTAGAATCATAGAATCGTACATGTTATCTATGCTAATATAGCCAAGTAAAATTTTACAGGTAAAAGTAGATCATTTTTTATTTTAATTTGCAATAAGTCTAACTGATTTAATTTCTGCATTCGATTTATGATACTAAGGGATTTCGGTGTGTAATGAATCTTTAATGCTATTGATATTTTTGCACAATTTTAGATAAAGATGTTTTCAAAAAAATTTCAGTCTAATGAAAATAACCATTTTCTATGGGCGAAAAACATGGTATATCCCTCGACATTCCTTCTAGCCGTGCTAAAATGCTTCGTCGAAACATAGTTTTTAACCACAATCGCGAAAACATTCATAGTAAAGATGAAAGCCTCAAGGGAATAACGAAGAAAAGATAAAGGACCAAAGGATGGCTAGGGGAATTAAGGTAGGGACAGTATAAATGACAGCAAGTGGAATGGGTTTCACGGAATTTTAAGGGAAATAACATGGCGAATGTAGAAGGTTTATTAAAATTTTGATAAAATTACTTGATGCTTTTGCAGCCGCTTAACTTTATCTTCGATACTACTTAATTTCGCTTGACGATCTGCTTCTAAACTGATTCGTTTTTGTTTCTCGATAATCCAGTTTTCCATTTCGGCCACATCGCTAATGAAACGAGCAAGCTTGAGTGAATCTGTTAGAATACCTTCACGAACATTGATTTCAGCGCAAAGCTGAGCAAGACTGGCGTCAACCTGAATAATAAAGCCATATTTAAGATAGCAGAGCACAAAATACTCTTGTTTTACTGCTCTAGATAAAGTCTACAAATCTGTTAACGCTATAATATTGAGAAATAATATTATAAAACCACGAGAAAATGCATGCAAGATTCAATTACTTGTCTAGTCCACTGATCGATCTTAGCTGACTCCATGTGACGAGTGCTTATTAAATGTTTTGCTGTCTTTTGAAGAGCTACAACGCGGTCATCAAGGATATTTAGTGCTTTCCGGAAAGTTTCCAGCTTTTTGGTTTGATTTTCCACGTCCTCTACTGTACCTCCGACCTAAATAAATTTAAACTGACTGAAAAATAAATTCATGATTTCTGAAATTGCGGTATTGTACCCATCTTAAAGCAGTGTAATTTTAGCTTCATAAAGTACTCAGCCAATTAACTATTACACATTTCATGAAATAATTCAAAATTGACCATACCTCTGCGCACCTAAGAGTACTCTGTCTAGCTGCTATTGCCCCTAGAGTTTGTTTTGCTTCTCTCTGAAAGGCATGCCACTCACGCACTTGGGCAAGCCAATCGCTACGCATTGACCATTCATTACGCACTCGACCTAATGCATTTTCAACCTGAAAAATTTTTTTATTCAAATATCTATTCGTCAAATACCAAAGAAAAAATTTTAACGCTATTTTTTATTTAATGAGATTAAATATATTGTGTATCAAAAGAAAATTGGAGTGTAAGTATTTATTATAAACAAAAATTTTTACAAACCTGCTTGAGTTTTTCAACAATTTCGGAGCTTGCATAATGTTCTTTCGCAATCATCTGCTGTCCACGTTGAGCAAGTCGAGCAAATTCTGGCTCACGAGCCTCGATTTCTGCCTAAAAATTACATCATCAAAATATCTTTAGTAAAATTATGTGAAGAACAAAAACCAAACCACGCAACATTCAAAGCTTCAAGAAATAAAACAAGACCGTATATCCACCATAATAAATTATATAGTGTAAAAAAAAAATAGAAAAAGAAAGGATTATGTACAATTAATGCTTAAGATAATCTAGCAGTGCTGAAATATTACCGCTTTAACATAAAGATGTACAATGATAGAAGTAACAAAAAAAAAATGGAAATTACAAATATACAGACAACAATTATGAATGGAAAACAACAGAAACATTTTGACACAACAAACCGGCTTATTATCAGTCGGACCTAGATGCTGTAAAAAAAAAGAAAAATCACTAAACTAGCCCAACAACGAGTAAACCACACAAACCCACCCTTCTGGCTACAAATAAAGCTGAAAAATCCAGTGAATATGTACTAAGGCAGGCTATTAAAACAGCAAATAATATTTATTGCTTCTTTATTCCAATAAGTCAAAATTAGGGACTTTATTATTTGATTCAAATATGTATTTACCTGAAGACGGAAATGCTCTTTTTGAAGCCATTCAGCACCTTGTAGATCATGGACTGCTTGTTCGCTTTGCATATCTGTTATAATCACCTCTGTCCATGCAATCAAGTCTCTAGCCTGAAACTATTTGGCATTGTAACTGTAAAAAAATTTTATTAAGGCATAAAAAAATCAAATTCTAACATTGACATAGAAACGTTGCAAATCATAAGCGGCCTTCAGAGCATCCCGACGACAAACTGTAGCATCTTGAAGATCCTGCCAAGCTTCTGCAAGAGAAGTTTGTTGCGCGGCAATATGTTCTGCATTACCACCAGGATAAGCTTCCTTTAAGCGAGCACTTTCCTCCAGTAAGGCCTGTAATAAGCAAATGTGGGATGGCAGCAGAAGAAAAAGCAAGATAGTGCACAATGTAACACGAAACAATGTTTATGATTTTTCTAATTTTACATGAAGCATTAGTCCAATTTAGTGATTTTTGAAAACTTGCCTACTTAATAATTTTATATTATTTATGATGAAATCAAATCTAAAAAGTAATTGGAAATAAGAAACAATACAAATGAAACTGTTAAAACCTGAAGCTGTTGTTCCATAGCGCCAAGCTGATTTTCAAAAGCTTCATGCTTCAACCACAACGAATGAACTTGTTTGATATCTTTCCCAAGCTCAGAAGGGATAGCTGCATGCTTATCAGCTATCCGTTCCTGATTTTCTGCGACATCTCGGTTGAATCTATGCAATTCTTCAGCTGCCTCCAATTTTTGATCGCGACTCTCAATATAATCAAGAAGCAATGTCCAAACTGCCCTTCAAAAAAAAACTGGTTAACCAAAAATCAAAAAATTGACAGCTCAACTATTCGTTATTTTGACCTAAAAATTATTAATATGAAAAAGAAAACTGATGTGAAAAAATTGGGAAGCTCAAGGATAACGGAATAAAATTTTTTCTTCTAGAAAAATAGAAACCTCAGTTTCTCTTGACGCATTAGTATATCTCTGGCAAAAGGTGGATTGCGTTTAAGCAGTGAATTAGCAGCTGATTCACAGTGAACGAATCTTTCACTTCCAGTTTTCACACTCTGTTTAAATTCTTCGAAACGACTTTGTAACTCCTAAATTTTGAAATAGTCGAAAAATTAAAGACATTTGAGATCTTAAATATCCCGATAAGTAGACCTTAAGATGCTCATAATCCTGTCCATAGTCTTCGCTCATAGCAATCTGTAACTGCTCGTTAATCCAAGCCTCAAGATCGTGACTTTCCCTCAAATACTGGTATAGATGAACGGCATTTTCCAGCTGACGACGTCTGTCATCAGCTGCATTTGATAAAGCATCAAACTCTTTTTCTAATTCCAACTGCCGATTGATGAATCGTTCTTTGCTAGATCTGAGAGAATTTTTCAGCTCACCACATTTTACAGCCAAATTGTCCAGCCATTTTCTAAAAAATTTAAGAAAACAGTCAACTGATCTCTCACATAAAATGTATGCACTAAATTATGACAGAAAAAATAATATATGAAATAAATGATGACTTATATGCGCTCATATCAGCTTGCAATGCTTTATGTTTCGTTAATAATTTCAGAGCAGCATCTTCGTCCTGACCATAGTCTTCTGAACAAAGCGTTGCATGTTTTTCATTCATCCATGATTCTACCTACAAAAGAGGATAAATTTTTTAAATTCGTGGTACCACTGCAATAATGAAAATCTCCCAAAAAAATTACCTCCGCTGCATCAAATAGATATTGTTCTTCCTTTAAAGCCCAATCCAAGAGCCTTTGCCTTCTACGAATTAGCTGACTAAGATGTGCCCACGCACCAGACAACTTAAAAAATTTCATAAAAGACAATAAAATGACTAAATTAAATTATTAAATTATTAGTAAAATCGAAAAAATTTTGCCAGAGATGAAAATAAAATTTTCAAAAAATGACTGTAGTAAACTTAAGACCTGTTTACACTTTGCACTGATCTGTTCATGAGCATAATGTTTCTCTTTAATTAAAATATCACCGCGTTTTAAAGTTGCTTCAACATGCGGTAGTCGAGAATTTACTTCAGCCTGGAAAATATATACTTTTTTACATCGACATTAAAAATATGCCAGAAAAGTGAAATGATGACAAAGAGAAATCGAAAAGAGAAAATTTTTTTGTTGTTCTTTTGTTTTGTTTTTTTTGTTTTTCTGATTTTAAAGAAAAATGAACGAGTAGACCGATAGAAGGAGACGTGAACAGGTAAGTAAATAAGTAAGTAAATAGGCAAGTAAGGAGTTAGGTGCGGTCGACAAAGACGATTTATTTATGCATATTATAATACATGCATTAAGTAAATACGGAGCGGGTAAACTAAATAAATCGCCAATAAAAACATGTTTTCAATGAAGAAATGAAGATACTTCTAGTTGTTCATGTTTTTTTTGCATATTTTTGGCCTCTGTCAATGATCGCCCAGTATCATCGGACGCAGCCATTGGTTCCTTTTCGGCAATCCAGTGCATCTCACAGTCAATATCAAAAGCAAGCTTATGGCATTTTAAGCTTTCTTCTAAGGTAAACCGACGCTCTTTCAAAGGTAATTCAAGTGATTTATATCTAAAAAGATTTTTATTTAAATCTCCAGAAACTTTATATTTTTATAAAGTATAATAACATAAAAAATTTCACCAAAAAAATGTGATAATAGTAGGATAATTACCGCTCGTCGAGATTACTGATCGATTTTTTGATAGAATCAGCATCGAAATGACCATTCTTTACCATATGTTCCGCTTTTTCTACGATCTCCGTAATTCTAGTTTCAAACATTGTCATTTCTTTTTCAATGACGGCATGTTTTTGAATAAGGTCCTTAACACCACGCAGATCGGAACCTATTATTAGCATTCATTATAAATGAAAGATGAATTATATAACCATTATAGCAAAACACAGAACCATGCAACGCAAAAAAACTTTCAACAGGAAAAAATTAACCAAGATCCCTTGACTGAAGCGCATTTTGTATTTCATCTAATCGCAGATAAGCATCATCGATAACAACATTTAATCCTTTTTGATCCTCAGCTTGACGCAATTTCTCGCCTTTAGCTTTGGCTGCTCTGCACAATTCTTCCCATTCAGTATTCAGATGATCTAACAATCGTTGAATTGAACGAGATTCGTAATGTTGTTGCGCGATGAGAGTTTTCCCATCCTTAAACAAAATAATTGTCTTCTTTTCAAAATACAAAGAGAAAATGAAACTAAAACATAGATTAATGAAGAGATATTTCTCAATATGATCGAAGGAATAACATTGTTAAGTTGATCAAGTCGAGCTGAATTTGATCTCAGTTCTGCTTCAAAGGCCGAATGTTTCAAGAGTTTCAGTGCAAGGGATGCAATATCTTTATGAGAATCGTCCTTAGCAATCTACAAATCTCAGTTATCTAAACGAACAAACTGAAATAAACGAATTAGCTTTATCGAAATATTAAAATTTTACAAAAAAAAACAATAATTCTTAGGATGCTCCCGAAAAGCTGCTATCGCTTCTAATAAAAGAATTCGAAACCCGCTTTCAGTAAGATATTAAAATCTGTCATTAAAATCCGGGTAATTACTTGTTCTATCATGAATTGACTTCCTAAGGAAAAATTTCTCGATGTAATATAACAGACACTGGACCAAATTGAATCAGAAGTGCTAATCAATTTATTTACTCACAAAGAAAAAGGAAGTAACCTTCTTCTTTTCAGCAATCCACTGCAGTAGTTCATAAATATTTTGTCGCAAATTCTGATAAACCAGTGATGCTTCCAACTTCGATCGCCGTTTAGCAGCGGCAACATGCACTGCAGTACGCCGAGCCAAAACATCATTACGTCGCTAAATCGCAGAATTTATGCTTTATAGGAACCTCAAAAATGAAGAACTTGAAACTCATATGTAAAATTAAAAAAAAGAATGATACCTGCTCAATAAAGGCAGATTCACTATGACCACGTCGAATCAACATATCAGCATTCTTGGAAAAGGCTTTCAAGCGATCTTCTTGGGCCGCTAATTTCGCTTCAAAATCGGAATGGCGTTTAAGAAGATTTTCAGTCGTTTCCACGGTATCCTTCAATATCAAATTATTTAGTTAACAAAAAAATCATGATTCAAACTCGAAAATGAGGATCTAAATAAATGACACATTCCGAAAATATGTTTTGAGCTTCAACCTACCGCATCATAAAAATGAAATCTGAGGAGTATGGAAATACTTTATAAGTTGAAAAATTGAAAAACCAATTCCGAGATTTTAATTTTTTCTATCAGATTTTTATAAAACAATAAAATTGATCGATGAAAGCCCATTAATTTATTTTAGAACAAATCCTGAATTCAGTCTTCAATTTATTTCAAAAAATATAGAAAAGTTTTCGCCAAAAACATTTCTCATTTCTCATTATAAAAATGAAATCTGAGGAGTATGGATATACTTTATAAGTTGAAAAATTGAAAAACCAACTCCGAGATTTGCGAACTCTAGGAAAGCTTCATGACCTTTTGTTGCAGCATCAATATACTCTGCTTCGCTATTTAATAACTGTACGTCAAGTGAATCTTTTAAACGACGTTCCTTTTCTTTCCACTGAGTTATTAGTGAATTTTCAGCATCGTCTAACTTGGTTAATTTATCTTTCACCTATAAAACAAATAAATAAACGTTTAAAAAAAGAAAAGCCAGCGAATCTAAATCAAATTGGCGAATCCATAAAATTAATGAGGAGAAGTTTTTTAAAAGTTGTCCAAATTCTATCAGACAAATTTCTTTTTATTCATTGCTCATACCTTAAAAGAAATGTTTTCATTAAAAAAAGCTTACATCTGTTAAGGATATACTTTTTAGCAGAAGCCGACTGCCTAAATCGCGAACATAACCAAATTCATATTTTTTACCGATGATTTCATCATTTAGTTTATAATGTTTTCGCAACAAATTCTCTGCTGAATCGACATCAACAGGTCGCGTATTATCCGCAAGAGCCATCCTTGTTTTTTCTATCCAAACTAGCAAATTCCTAAATTTATAGGCGGACTTAAACAATGACAAAAATTCAGTGGGATTCCAAATATGCATCGGATTTTAGAAGGCGAGGTCTTATAATTCTCAATCATAATAATGTGACCTAAATTTAAATAAATAATTCAATTTCATTTGGTTGAAAAAGGAAATGAAACATATCATCAAAGATAGATGAACAATTGAATGAAACTGCTCATATTGCCCATATTTTCAAAAATATTACGGTCAAGATTTCAAACTCTTACTTAACAGCATTGTCAAACATTTGATGTCCCTGGGTCTGCTCTGCCTCTTCTATACGAGCTGCTGCCTTCTTCTGCAATTCGGAATGCATCACATTAAGTTCTTTTACCATTGCCTCAATTTTTGCTGCTTCACCTGGATGTTCCTTTTTGACCTGAAAAATAATGGCATGATAATAAACCATAAAACTAGCAAACAGAGAACATTATCACTTGAATGTTATAATATTTATTCGACTAAAATTTCAACACAAATATAAATTATAAGATTATCAATATGTAAATATAAACACAAATGATTCAATCTAGTAACCTAAAAATAATTTAAAAAACAATATCAATTAAAATCAAAAAATACTTCGTTAGCCAACTGCTGAAGGTAATGAATTTTGTCTTCAAGTGGCTTCAAATCTTTGCCTAGATTCTGATAACGTTTCTGAAGCGCTTGAACAGCTTTTGCATCACTTGGATCTACTTTCTGATTGAGTAAGTCGAATTTATCTTGCATCCATGAACGAGCTTCTTCACAATACTCATTGAAAGTAGCTATACGTTCAGCTGTTTCCTGGAACAAATACAATGCAAAAATTATTACGTAAAAAAATTTTCATAAAAACTTCAGTGGAACTGTTCTGTGAAATAGCATACTGATTTCCAAGAGTTTAGTTTGATCAAAATATGAACATCGATTCTTTTCAAAATGTTCAGTATTCACAGTCCATTTAAAATCTGTTCTATGAAATATAAAATTAAAACTTTGAAACGAATGGGCTCACAGAATAAGTAATACTATCCATGTTCTTTCTATCATTAAATTACCATTAACTACTACTATACTGGTTAAAATATTTGATCAAAAAAAATTTTCTGAAAGATGTAGTAAAAAAAAAATACCAATTGCTTCTGTTTGATTTTTTGCATATTCTGAATACGGTTCCACAGATGATTCGCAGCTTCTTGACGACGACGAATTTCGTCGCAATGGCTGTGTCCTTCATTCGTTAAATCATTTGCTATATCATTGATACGCTTTATTTGTGATTTTCCTCCACTTTTTATTTCACTTTCAAGTTTCTAAACATTTTGTCCTTTTTGAAAATTATTTGAAAATTATAGTATTAAATTTAAAAATCTGATTCATTTTTTCAATTTTTTGCCGAAATGAATGTTTTCAGCTACTGCATTATCTGCCAAAGATATGCATGATAACAAAATAATTTGTTACCGCCATTTGATTTTAATATAATTTAATTTAAATTCAGTGAAACGAATATTACATACATCAAACTTTTTACGAAATGCTGGAACGTTTTCAGTTGCTGCATTATCTGCCAAAGCACCCTCAGTTTCTTTCGCCCAGCTTTCAAACTGATCACATTCACGCAAAAATTTGTATAGTTTTATCATATCACTCAAGAGACGCCTTCGTATCTTAAGAATATTGTTAAATAAACTTCATAATGTATTTGAACTTCATAATGTATTTGTGTATATATTAATATTAGCAGACTGCAAAAACAATCATAAACAATACCTGAGCAAGGTTACAAAGTTTGCAATAATCAGCGCTAATTGTTTCCTGCCTTTGAATAATGGCATTTTTGGATTCTTGAGAGCCACGTCTAGACTTTCTGATTGTTTGCGCTATTCTAACCGTTTCGCCATCAATCACCCGACAGTAATTGGCAGGTACATAACCTTCAACACCATCCTGCTTTAAAACTCGCCACCAATCGTTATTTGTTTTTTCAACTAGCGCCAAAACCTAAATTTCATCATTCACATTGTAGTGTTTAAACAGTTTTAAAGCAAAAAACAATAATACGAATAACATTTCTTTCTAGTCGAACTACGAAATAAAAGATGAAGAATATATATAAAGAATATTTATCTACAAAAATATATTTTAAAGGTAAAGAAATTTTGGACAGAATGTTTCAAAACAATTATGGTAACCAAAATTTTGCTAACCTCATCCTTTTTAGTAGAAATATGATTGCTTAAAAATGGAAATAGCATCCTAATTTGAGGCACAATTAATTCTTCAATTTGTTCTTCCACTTGAACTCCCATGCCAGCAACAAATTCAACATTTCCTAATTCTGCAGCAACCTCATCTAAACGAATCATGTCCGCCCGATATGCGTGGATTTCCTCTTCTAGGCGCGTGTGTCTAAATTTTATTAAAAATACACTTTCCTGATAAAACTTATTTGAATTTGGTTATTCAATAAGTTTAAAAGTTAACAATTACTCAAATACTCCAATAATTTCCAGTGCAAACCTTAAAAGCAAGCTTTCAGATGCTTGCTCATCTCTACCATAGTCATCGCTTTTCACTAAAGGCATTTTCTCTCGAATCCAGCTTTCTGCTTCATTAGCATCATGGAAGTATTGATGAACTTGTTCCGCTTCACGCAACCACCGACTAACTACTTCCATTGTCTAAACAACAGTTCACAAATTTTGAAATTTTACCGTTTAAAACATTTTCACATTTTGAATGAGAATAAACCTTTCGAAGTTGCTCCCATTTATTTTGCAAAGTGACTATGCGCGATTTGATGTCATCCTTATTTTGGCCAGATGATAGGTGTTCACCTGCAGCTATCACGCCTTTGGAACGTTGCCAATGCCCTTGCATTTCGGTTTCTAGGTTCTAAATCAAAAAAAAATTTTAGAAACTTTTTGAGTCAAAGCATTTTCATTCCAAAAATTTTGGCATTTAATAAAACCTTGAAAATACGACGAAACTGAGGTGTTGCAGTTAAATCACGATTGTTTAAGACTGATAAACATAAATCTTCTTTTTCCTTCAACCAATTCACCTCCTCCTCATGATCTTGAATGAAACGATAAAGATCACGTGCTCTGTGAAGTGCCATTCGTCTCTGGCGACAGAGATCGACCACACTACAACCCTTGTTCCATGAAAAACGCAAATTACAACAAAAAAGTTACACACCCATTCTTCGAAACTTTTCACGGATAAAGTGCTACCTTTCATAAATTGAGCTAGCATCATCCAGCTTACGTTGTAGAACATCATACTGCTCGCCTTTTTCTCGAATATAGGTCAAAGCTTGAGACGTAACATTTTTTAACAGATCACCTTGTAAGTTCAGCTGGGCTTCCAGAATCTCTTGCTTTTCAAGAAGATCCTCTATACCAACCAAATGTTTTCCAATATCACGATTCAGAAACTGCGTCTGAAAATTTTTTTGACTAAAAAAATTTATCATTTATTATAAATTTATAAATTTATTATAAATTCATTACTCATCTTTGAAGTCTCCATCTCAACATTAAAAAATACCTCCAAAAATCTCATTTCTGAAGATAAAGTATCAATATCTCGCAACAACTGCATGAGATCATTCAGTGACATAAGAGCTTTACGACGAGACGCTAACGCAGCAAGAAGCTGTGACCATTTATCCAGTATGTTTCGTTCGCGCATTTTAATACGCTCATAATCATGATACTTCTCGTGTGATAATTCGTTTGCCATTAATGATAATGACTTGAACCTATCTTCCTGAAAAATGAATTTATAATAAATAAAATATTCCTAATAAAAATGAAAGAAAACAGGTTGAAAATAACGATGAACCAATAATGTACTTAAAACGCATTAAAGGGAGAAACTAAAAAAAAAACATTATAAGATGCATCCAAGAAAGAACGCCAAGAAATAATGAGGAAATGAAGTTTACGTCAAAGTTTTTGTTTCCTAAAACTATCCACAAAGTACAAATGCTAAAATTTACTTGTGGAAGAATATCAGCAGCGATAGCTTGTTGTTTCTTAAGTGCTGCTTCAACCTGAGCAACTGTCCGACCAAAATCAAAGTCTTGCAAAACGCTATTCATTTCTTTTAACCATGAATCACGTAAAGCAGCCTTTCTTTCAAATTTATGAGCCATATGTTCCAAACGTTCTTGACTAAAAAGTAGGAATAATAAATTGAAAAAAATAAACACTCATATAAAAGATTTATTTTTCACAAAAAAAGAATCAAAAAACAAATACAGGCCTATATTTTAAATAATCTCACCGTCTAAGTTCCACAGTTAATGCCAACTGTCGGTCATTTTCAGAATGATCCAATAAACCCCAAGCTGATTCAACGTCATGCATAAGTAAACCTGAAATTCAGTTTTGTTCCGATGAAAACACGAGGAAATTATTTTAATAACTCTATATTGTATTAATATGCAAAATAATAAATAATCACTGATGTTCGAACACTAAGAAAATTAACAAAGTTCAAACAGATAAAAAAAGGTTTACCTTGTGGGGGTAAATAAGGACTTCTTCCCATTGCTTTTCTTTTTGTCTGTATAGTGAAAAATAGTGCTTCCAAATCACCTTTTTCCTTATATCTGTAAACAATATGAGAAAATAACGATAAGCCTAAATCCAGAGAAAATTCAATAATCAGAAATGAAAACGCTGAAAAAATTGAGTTACTTTGGTGGTTTTTCCTGCGTTCGATAGTTTTTAAAGCGAACTAGCTCATCTTGAATACCCTTGAGCGAATTTGGAAAACGACGAGCATTCAGAATCAATATCGTTTGTTGAATCCATTGAAGAAGATCGCAACAAAGAGCCTCAAAATCTTCTTGAAGTTGGTCCGATGACATCAAATTGCCAACAATCTGAATAGACAGAAATGAAGCGTAGAAATCGAATGTAAATATAAAGGTAATAAATGAAAAACAAAATGCTTTAAAAGGCAAATTTGCATTAATTCAATTTATTTACCAAACCTTAGCAACTCTCCTTGCACCAGTCATTTCAGATTTCTGCTTGGCAAAATAATGGTAATATAAAGAGACATAGGTAATAATGGACTTTTCATCAGGATGTGCTACATTTACATCCTCCGCATCAAGCAAGCGTGTTATTTCCAACTTTTTCTCAGCAATGTCAAAAGCATTATTCAGGTTACCGATTGGATCTTGAGGTGAAAGTTCCTCATATCTTATTAAATCCGATCTAAAACTCTCTCTCTATTTAACATATGTTGTTCATCATATATTGTTCATAATGATTCAGTAGATTTCGATATACAAACAGATAAACCTATGAGCATGGATAAGAGCATTGAATGCAAGACCATTACGCCACGAAGTTGTAAAGTTTTCAATCTTAACGTTGGCATAACCAGCTGTTTTCCGTTGACACCAAAGCAATAATGCTTCTTTTGCATGTTTACGTTCACCAGATTCTTCGTCCATCTTTAACAAAATTATTAGAAAATGAGTTTACTTAACTAACTTTTTTTTTTATTTCTGTTTTCAAGGAAACTAATAAACAAAGCATGGCGCCATATGCTAAATTATAAATATAAAAGAGAATAAAATAAATAGCAAAAGATCTACGAGATCTCGGTAATTTCATTAAATTACCAAAAAAAAGAAATTTATTTTTCCTTTCTATTTTGTAAGTTGATAAAAATTTAACTAACAGGAATGGATATTGTATCAATTTGAAAACGAAGAATGATCGTCCATATGAGACCAAGAATAAGCCGTTCATTTCGATCCAAAATATCTTCAGCACCAATATTTTCTAGCTGTAAAATAGACAGTAAAAGAGACATAACAAATTAAATGAATTAATCTATTTTCTGACAAGATCATTTTCAATCCTCTCATTTAAATAGCTGCAAACATAACATTTAAATAATAGCAATAAATAGAAATAAGAACCATACATTTCAAATCCATTCACAAATTTACCACATAAGTCGGAAAAGCTTATCGAATCAATTTTATTGCCTATTACTAAAGATTCGCTACTCATAAGTAATTATTAAATAATCAAATCGCATTGTGAATAAAATGATCGTCCATATGAACAGAACTTCAACGAAATCTTTTATAACATTTATAACATTAAAATTTAATTTAATCTCCCTCAACAATCAAACATGATTTGCCGTTATTTCCTTCTTATCAGGAGAATTTTCTTTATGACCTTGTATTGAAATACCCCTTTCCTTAAATACATTATCGAAAATTGTTTATTTCAACCACTGCACCGATTTTAAACAGAATTAAATTACTCATATCTAATCTAAATAGGTCAAATTTAAAAAGGACATTTAAATGGAAAGACTTTTATACGAAAACAATTCTACTGAAAAAAATTTTTAACGAAATGATTTTTAAAAAGTGACAAGTCGTGAAAAAAAATAAAATGGGATGAAGTTTTGCGATGAAGGTAGCTAAGTGATGCAATAAAAAAAAAAGAAACGAATAAAACCAACTTGTATACGTTTCCGTTTCAAAAAATCAAGACTGGTATTTAAATTTTCTATTTTTTGTACTCGCATTCTTCCACGATTCGGCTTCCCAAGTTTTTCACCTGAGATTATCTCTAATAATTTCATCAATATGACACCATCACCTACATCGATAAATAAATCCAGTATTTCCATTCTTGCCTGAAATAATAATAATAACATCACAAATTTTTGCAGCGAAAACTCCTAAAAAAATATATGCCATACATATGTAATTAAACTATTAAAAGACATTTCGAAGTTTCCATCAATGCAAATAAAAGGAATTAGCGGAAATCTTGTTTCTGCTAAAGATTTCGGCTGAAATATATATTTTTTATTACCAATTATATAAATAAACCATAATTCAGCAGAAAAAGAGAAAGAATAACATTTATAAAAAATCATAACTTTCATCTCACCCTCATCATCATTCCGACAAAAAAAAAAAATTTGTGAAACTAGCCAAAAATAGAAGTGAAAAGCACTAACTCTAGTTAGAAACGAATTACACCATTTGGTGAATGTCTTTTTTTGTATGTGAATTCGCTCTTCTTGTAATTGTTTTATCCGATTCCGTTCAAAAAATAACGTAGGATCTGTGAATTCATCGTAATCTTCTGGATGTGCATTCGACGGACTTTCATAGCCTGAACGATTCACTTGTGGAACTTGAACCTGTACGAAAATTTAATATTTAAAATATGGATAAAAAAATAAACTTCAATAATGAATATCTCTCATTATTTCAGAAAAACAAATATAAACAGTAGAGAATTCCTCAATTCCTCAAATTTAAACAACTTTCGCTAAAATAGACTTAAAATATACTTAAACACTAAGAAAAAAAAAATGAGCAAAAAATCGATGAAGGTTTTCATTTAATGATATTTTTTCTAGAAAACTCTTTTATTTAACTTAAAATTAAAGAAACTATCAATAACATAGTTTTATCTACTCAAAACTCAATTTTCTAAACAAATCTTCAAATGCTTGTTTCACTTATATTTTACATCATGCTTATACAACCGTTGACTTATGCCTTCGCTTATATTCAGCTTCATTAGAAACAACTCAATCTGTTATAGAATTCAATGGCTATATAAAAAGTTCATTCATAAAAAATTTTTTTCGGACTATTTCTGGCCAACAATAAATAGAAGTGAAAGAAGTCAATTATAATTAATGTACCCAAAATAAGTTGAATTTTAATGTTTTTCAACTCTCGCGAAATGTATCACTGAAAATTAAAAAAAAAAAAAACAATGACCTGAATTTCGTATTTTGGCATAGTTGTGACATATGTTGATAAAAAAGAATCACTCGTAGTTTCTGAAATAGTACCACTACGACAGGCACTCGTTGCTACACCTTGTTTCGATGGAGAGTAGCAAGATACTGACATTTTTTTTTTTTTTTAAATAAATGAAAATTTATAATAAAAAATATCGCCACGCTAAATCAATTAAACGAAAATCCAGGATTTGTAACGAGGAAAGAAGGAACGATAATGGCGATGATGACGACGATCACAAATGTGTGAGGACAAAATGAGCAACAATAATGCAACAAAACTGAAGAAGTCATGCGCAACTAAGGAAAAAATATGTGTATTAAATCGACCTCGACGGCGATTTACTTTGCGATGTCAAGGCCATCAAAGTCTTACCCTACTAAATATAAAGGAATTCCCATTTTTAAAATCTTCATACAAACATATCAACTAAACATAATAAAAATTCTATCATTTAATAATCTCCTCTTCTTTTTTTTTTTTGTTTTTTTTTTTTCATATTAGTTTCATAATAGTTGAAAAAATTCAAGAAAAATTCGAAATAATTATTAATTAAAATTATTTTTATGGTCGAATTCAATGATCGCTATTTAATGATCTCTTTAAATGGGTTAAATAATCGAATAACTATTAAAGTTAAATTAAATATTAAATGGTTAGTTAATTATTGAAGAGAGAAACGGTAATTGGCCGATCAGCGATATTATGCGATAAGATCATATCATATCGATGACGGCAAAATATAAAAAAAAACCATTAGATAAAATAAATGTATCGATATCATTGGCACTCTCCTTTCAACAATGAACTCAACTCTTTAATTTGTTTTATTCAATTCTGTAATAAAAAATTTATATATATATATAATATATATAAATGATGATCGTCTTAAATTTTATGCAACGACTTTTGGCTTACTAGAAATAACTGAAAAATCGATCAGTTCAAATATATTAGTCATCATCAAAAAAGAAAAAAAAATTCCTTGCCAACCCATTCGGAATTTTCTTTCCTCTTAACTGAATAAATAAATGCCTCAAATATAACAAATAGTTCGATTTTATTAATAATTGTTACATTAAAATCATCTTTTAACAAATCAAAATCGACAATTCTTAAAAACTCTACGTAAAACTGTAAACATACAATTCATCAATTTGTTTAATTAACAATGAATAATATTGATTTGATTCTATCTCAACCTGACGAAACCAGAGTTACCATTAAGGTTGAAGTTTGGTTGACTGCTGGAAGACCCGCTTCTAACCTCAACTGACTTCTAATCTTCGGTCTGTTTGTAGCGAGTAAGTTTAGTATGCAGTGGAGATAACCAAATCAGAAGTGATGTTTGTTAATAAGTAATCGAATAAGTAATTTAAATATAAAAAATTAAGAAATTTAAAAAATTAATTTCAAAAAATTAATCTAATAAATTTGAAAAGAAAAGCGCTTGTATAAAAAGACAATTTTGCGTTTTCTTACCGAATTCTTTGTTTCATTTCGAACTCGGAAATTAGATAAATCTCAATCTGTCGTCAACCTACTGGGTGGTCGTTCAAATATATCAAATATGCATATAATTTCCTTGATGAAATTCTACGAAATAAACAAAATGCGAATCAAATGGAAAAGTACCAATTTGTTTATAGAAATAATAAAAATTCAAAAACGATTTGCTGACGTTTATAAAATTTATTATCATCACGAACCTAATTTTCATCATCGAATTTCCTCCGATTTTGTGTAGATAATTTTCTCTATGGTAAAAAAACCTGCACTGGTACCACTAGTGATCTTAGGAGAATAAGTATTTCAAAGTCTTCTAGAACTACCTATTTTTTTAAACCGAGATTAACACCAAAATAACATCGAAATATGTATACTAATGAATGAATATCACTGCCACAACTCCAACGACAAGGAGTTACTCGCCGAAAATCAAACATCACTGCACACCGCTTCCGGTCTCTTAACGAGAATTAATGAGACATCAATTAAAAGTGAAAAGTAAATTAATGCGGTATTAAGAAATTCTTATCCTCAAATGGCCCCATTGCCAAACGGCAAATGCAAAACCTAATTTTTAAGCTCGGCTCATTTTTTGACGCCTCTCGCAGTACTTTTATCTCCGCCATTGGTTTACGCCGCGAAGGCTTTCTTATTATAGGAATCATTGTTACCTTTGCTATCTCGCATATTATTAAACTTGGATGAATACGCAATGAGCATTAAAATAGCCAAAAAAGAAAGAAAACAATAAAAAATTTGATTCAAACCAATTCAAAGCTATTGAAATGACCAATGAACCCGTCTTTGACCTGATTCCAATTTTCCCTCCTTAACTTCAGCCACCTTTCTCTGTGCCTCGAGTCTTTTTCCCACTTCTAGTGTCCTCTCAATCGAAGACCCTCAGTTTTTTCTATTTCCCTCCCACCCACTCACCTCAATTACGCCTTCCACGCTGAACTAAACGCCATTCGTTAAAGAACCAACCCGTCAATCTCCGAACACCTTTTCACTTTCACACTATCGCAATTGACCTCAACAAAGCCAAAAATGTAAGCGCCTATGTCCAAGCACAATAAATTACTTAATTGGCGGGAAAGATTAAATGTCATTCATTCATAAATTCGTACGCGTCAACGCGTAAACGGATCGAAAACTGATCATCTTTCTCAGCAGAATCCGTATTACAAGTACCATAGGTTGTTTATATTTGCCAGAATTGTACCATTCGATCGAGTTATGCCATTTGACAATCTAATTCGACTTTAGGGATTTATGTTTAAGACATTTTCTAAGATTTTTGTGCTACTATATGTGCTTTTTAGCTGCTAATAGTTTATTGTCTCTTTTAAAACATGTCAACAATGCAACCGACAAAGGGGATAATTTGTTGGAGAAATGTTTCGGTTAATATATGTTTGTTGTCGTCATCTGTGGTACTATACAACTGCTTTTCAGAGATTACTGCACAAATGTCTGGGACTGTTTTGAATAGTTCCACAAATTGTTAGGATGAGAGTTCAGCTTCAGCCAGAGAGTCACAGAAGTGCACACCCGCGTTCTGCACTAATTTAGAAAAATTCACAAAGTTAATCTCATTTTACATGCCGATTTAGAAAAAGCCTAGAAAAAACTTTATAAAATTCTATGAAAACGACCAATGAAAAATGATTATAAAAAAAAAAAAAACAAATTTCTCTTTTATAGCATTAATGATGCGAAAAAAAAGTGCAAATTGTATCATTGAAATGAAAGAAAATCTCTTAAAATTACAACGAAAAAAAAAAGAGTGACAATGATTTGAGAGAAAAGAGATGAAAGAGATAAATGATGGACAATTAGAAATGAAAAGGACAAGAACGGAACATAATGAAGGACAATAAGGAGGACAGAGGGACAATGGTATAACTGAAAAAGACATAGCAGAAGGATAATTGTGTAACTGGGCATACATGATTGAAGGACAATGGAGTAACTGGAAAGACATGGCGGCAGTTCAACAATTAACAATAGGTAAGTTAAGAGACGAACAGCTAAACGGAAGTAAGATCGGACAAATAAAGGCATTGAAGAAAGGAAGTTTGGATGAATTACTGTCAAAAAGTGGTAAATGAGAGAGAAAGATTTCAGTAAATTTCATTGTCAGACTAATCGGACAACAAATAATCAAATAAATGCAAATAAAATTCCAACAAAGAATGCATCAGCATACTTTATTTTTTAATAATTCACGAATAATTCATATAAAAATATTATAGAAAGGCAAATGATAAAAAACTGAGCTGAATTTATAGAAATCACTCGGTTTTGGAACCCTTCGTATAGTATTTTCACAATCGTTCGCTTAACAGCACTAACTCGTTTTTGCTTCGGCAATCTCCGCTAATTATGTGGTAGAGAATGGTTCAGTGGGATTGTTAAATCTGACCAGAAATCCGAGTGATGCTGGCGACTTACCTGTACTTGTACCAAGGAACTATCTAGCATATTTGCCTAGTGTGAGACGCCAGCGTAGCGAGACATCAGTAATCGTGAAGGCTCTTAAAAAGAATAATCTCCACTAATTACTAAGATGAGAGTCTCTTTTCTCCAGAAAATACTTGGAAATGTAAAAAATTGTTTCCAAGCAACACTCGAATTTTATTTTTAATGAATAATTTCGTTAAGGAACAGAAATATTTCAAAATGTTAATAAATCTCATAATTTTCCTCAAATTTCCTCTCCATTGAAATTTTATTATACAATACTTTGGATCTCACACTTATATTTACTAAATCGCTTGTACTAAGATCTTGGAAAATCCTCTTTGGAACTGTCAAATAGAAAAATAAATCAAATAAGGAGTAATATTTCAATCGTATTACGGTAGATAAGAATTTTGATAAGAGTTATCATTTCCTTCAGATTGATTATTTATTGCTTGAAAATTAAAAAAATTCAAATCTAAGATCTATGAAAATTAATCGATAATCCAAAAAAATTTATAAATTTATCATTTTTCAACCTATTTTCTCTAATTTTTTTTTACTATTTTTATTTTATAGGATTGATAAAAATTCGCATATTCGATGAATGCGATTCGCTGAACTAAACTAGTTTGTAGTTTTTAAAAAGCGAAATCTAAACTTGAATTCTATTTGATTGATATGCATATGTGATTTAAGGGGATTATATGATTGATTATTTAATTTTAATTCATTTCTACAAAACGAACATAAAATTTTCACTGACCATTTATTACTAAATAAAATAAAAAATATTTT